GCAAGGCAAAGACTCAGCCTAAATTGCTGCATAGCCACATCAGGAGAAAAACAACAGTAAAGGAACAGGTAATGAAATTAAGGATAGGGGCAGGAGGATTCACTACAAGCGACAAGGAAGTGTGTGAGGCACTGAATAAGAAATGCCAGGAGGTCTTCACCATAGAGCAAGGAGAAATTCCAGAGATAAGAGAGGAATAGTTAACCAGGAACCACTAGAAGAGTTTGTGATTACCAGTGGGAGAGAAAGGAAGTTTTTACTAGAGTTTTATGTGACAAAGGCTATAGATCCAGATGGAATCTCCTCTTGGATACTAAAGGAAGGAGCGGAAGCACTGTGCCTGCCACTCTCCATAGTGTATAACAAATCACTGGCAACAGGGGAACTGCCAGAAATTTGGAAAGCAGGTAATGTAGTCCCGATATACAAGAAAGGGGATAAACAGGAGGCACTGAACTACAGGCCAGTGTCCCTAACATGCATACTATGCAAGCTGATGAAGATTGTGCGAAGAAAGCTAGTGGAACATCTGGAGCGAAGGAACTTTGTAACACAGCATCAACATGGGTTCAGGGATGGCAAGTCCTGCCTCACAGGGTTAATTGAATTCTACGACCAGGCAAGAAAGAGAGGGTGGGCAGATTGACTGCATATTTTTGGATTCCCAAAAAGCTTTTGATAAAGTACCACACAAGAGGCAAGTGAAAAAGCTGAAGATGCAGGCTGGAGTGAAAGGGAAGGTACTCCATTGGATAAGGGAGTACCTAAGCAACAGAAGACAACGAGTCACTGTGAAGGGTGAGGTCTCAGATTGGCGAGACGTCACAAGTGGAGTCCCCGCAGGGGTCAGTCCTTGGACCTATACTGTTTCTGATATATGTAAATGATCTCCCAGAGGGTATAGACTCGTTTCTCTCAGTGTTTGCTGATGATGCAAAAATTATGATGAGGATTGAAACAGAGGATGATAGTAGAAGGCTACAAGAAGACCTATACAGACTGAATGAATGGTCCAACAAGTGGCTGCTAAAGTTCAACCCGAGTAAATGCAAAGTAATGAAATTAGGTGGAGGAAACAGGAGGCCAGACACAGAATACCAAATGGGAGATGAAGTCCTTCATGAAACGGACAGAGAGAAAGATCTAGTAGTTGATATCACACAAATCCTGTCTCCTGAAGCCTACATAAAAAGAATTACGTCTGAGGCATATGAGAGGCTGGCTAACATCAGAACAGCGTTCAGGAACCTGTGTAAGGAATCATTCAGAACCTTGTATACCACATATGTAAGACCATTCCTGGAGTATGCGGCCCCAGCATGGAGCCCGTACCTTGTCAAGCACAAGACGAAGCTGGAAAAAGTTCGGAGGTATGCCACTAGACTAGTTCCAGAACTAAGAGGCATGAGTTACGAGGAACGGCTGCGGGAAATGCACCTTACGACACTAGAAGACAGAAGAGTAAAGGGAGACATGACCACTACCTACAAAATCTTCAAGGGAATTGACAGGGTAGACAAGGATAAACTATTCAACACGGGTGGTACGCGAACAGGGGGACACAGGTGGAAACTGAGTACCCAAATGAGCCACAGGGACGTTAGGAAGAACTTTTTCAGTGTCAGGTAGTGGTCATGTCTTCCCTCACTCTTCTGTCTTCTGTACTCACCTAATTGTGCTTGCGGGGGTTGAGCTCTGGCTCTTTGGTCCCGCCTCTCAACTGTCAATCAACAGGTGTACAGGTTCCTGAGCCTATTGGGCTCTATCATATCTACACTTGAAACTGTGTATGGAGTCAGCCTCCACCACATCACTTCCTAATGCATTCCATTTGTCAAGTACTCTGACCCTAAAAAAGTTCTTTCTAATATCTCTGTGGCTCATTTAGGCGCTCAGTTTGCACCTGTGTCCCCTAATGCGTGTGCCCCTTGTGTTAAATAACCTGTCTTTATCTACCCTATCGATTCCCTTGAGAACCTTGAATGTGGTGATCATGTCCCCCCCCCTAACTCTACTGTCTTCCAACGAAGTGAGGTTTAATTTCCATAGTCTCTCCTCGTAGCTCATACCTCTCAGCTCGGGTACTAGTCTGGTGGCAAACCTTTGAACTTTTTCCAGTTTAGTCTCATGCTTGACTAGATATGGACTCCATGCTGGAGCCGCATACTCCAGGATTGGTCTGACATATGTGGTTTATAATGTTCTGAAAGATTCCTTACACAAGTTTCTAAAGGCCTTTCTTATTTTAGCCAACATAAGTCTTGTGTGTGTGTGTGTACTCACCTATTTATACTTACCTATTTGTGCTTGCAGGATCGAGCATTGGCTCTTGGATCCCGCCTTTCCAGCCATCGGTTGTTTACAGCAATGACTCCTGTCCCATTTCCCTATCATACCTAATTTTAAAGTTATGAATAGAGTTTGCTTCCACAACCTGCTCCTTAAGTGCATTCCATTTTTCCACTACTCTAAAGCTAAAAGAAAACTTCCTAACATCTCTGTGACTAATCTGAGTTTCCAGTTTCCACCCATGTCCCCTCGTTCTGTTATTATTACGTGTGAACATTTCATCTATTTCCACTTTGTCAATTTCCCTGAGTATTTTATATGTTCCTATCATATCTCCTCTCTCCTTTCTTTTCTCTAGTGTCGTAAGGTTCAGTTCCCTCAGACGTTCTTCATATCCCATCCCTCGTAAGTCTGGGACAAGCCTCGTCGCAAACCTTTGAACCTTTTCTAGTTTCCTTATGTGTTTCTTCAGGTGGGGGCTCCATGATGGTGTGTGTGTGTGTGTGTGTGTGTGTGTGTGTGTGTGTGTGTGTGTGTGTGTGTGTGTGTGTGTGTGTGTGTGTGTGTGTGTGTGTGTGTGTGTGTGTGTGTGTGTGTGTGTGTGTGTGTGTGTGTGTGTGTGTGGAAACACATGAGTGTGGTGATACCTAGCGTGTATTGAGCACATTATCGTGGACTACACTGCCCACCTTCATAATGTTCTCAATGCATGAAAGCGCTCGGATTTTATGATTCTCTTTCCTTGCGCTTGCCAATGATCTCCATCACGCGTTTTTGTGTATATATATAAAACAAAAGATAACTTTCAAATGTTCTATGACGTACCACAAAGATAACAGGCCGTAGCCCACTCCCCATTCGTGTCACAATACAGCCCGATTAACTGTAATTCACGATATCATATGGGTTGAAGGGTTTATTTCAGTTAAATGTTATTATCCACGAAACCTTGGATTACAAGATATGGAAAAGAAGTGGATTATCACCAGTTACCTTCGTAGTGCTCCAGGAATGTTTTAAATTCAGGTTTGGCCAGCATTGTGAATGTTTTTTTGGTACTCTCCTTAATGAGAGCATTCTCGTATTGACTACTTTGTATTTTACATGACCGAGTTCGTTCCACCATGGTCCTGAGGAAGTAAATGTTATTGTCCAGAATATTGTGGATTAGCCTTGCGTGCGCGCGAGTATATATATATATATATATATATATATATATATATATATATATATATATATATATATATATATATATATATATATATATATATATATATATATATATAATATGTTGTACCTAGTAACCAGAACGTCGTACTCGGCCTACTATGCAAGGTCCGATTTGTCTAATAAGCCAAGTTTTCCTGAATTAATATATTTTCTCTAATTTTTTTCTTATGAAATGATAAAGCTACCCATTTCATTATGTATGAGGTCAATTTTTTTGCCCCTCATGCAGGCCTCCACCTGGCCTGCATGAGGGGCCTCCACCTGGCCTGCAGGAGGGCCTCCACCTGGCCTGCAGGAGGGCCTCCACCTGGCCTGCAGGAGGGCCTCCACCTGGCCTGCAGGAGGACCTCCACCTGGCCTGCATGAGGGCCTCCACCTGCCCTGCAGGAGGGCCTCCACCTGGCCTGCAGGAGGGCCTCCACCTGGCCTGCAGGAGGGCCTCCACCTGGCCTGCATGAGGGCCTCCACCTGGCCTGCATGAGGGCCTCCACCTGGCCTGCATGAGGGCCTCCACCTGGCCTGCATGAGGGCCTCCACCTGCCCTGCAGGAGGGCCTCCACCTGGCCTGCAGGAGGACCTCCACCTGGCCTGCATGAGGGCCTCCACCTGGCCTGCATGAGGGCCTCCACCTGGCCTGCAGGAGGGCCTCCACCTGGCCTGCAGGAGGACCTCCACCTGGCCTGCATGAGGGCCTCCACCTGGCCTGCAGGAGGGCCTCCACCTGGCCTGCAGGAGGACCTCCGCCTGCCCTGCAGGAGGGCCTCCGCCTGGCCTGCAGGAGGGCCTCCACCTGGCCTGCAGGAGGGCCTCCACCTGGCCTGCATGAGGGCCTCCACCTGGCCTGCAGGAGGGCCTCCACCTGGCCTGCAGGACCTCCGCCTGCCCTGCAGGAGGGCCTCCGCCTGCCCTGCAGGAGGGCCTCCACCTGGCCTGCAGGAGGGCCTCCACCTGGCCTGCAGGAGGGCCTCCACCTGGCCTGCAGGAGGGCCTCCACCTGGCCTGCAGGAGGGCCTCCACCTGGCCTGCAGGAGGGCCTCCACCTGGCCTGCAGGAGGGCCTCCACCTGGCCTGCAGGAGGGCCTCCACCTGGCCTGCAGGAGGGCCTCCACCTGGCCTGCAGGAGGGCCTCCACCTGGCCTGCAGGAGGGCCTCCACCTGGCCTGCAGGAGGGCCTCCACCTGGCCTGCAGGAGGGCCTCCACCTGGCCTGCAGGAGGGCCTCCACCTGGCCTGCAGGAGGGCACGAGAGCTCCGCCCCTCCTCCCGGCCTGGTGGGAGCCAGCCAGGATGAGCAGGCTGGGGGTCTGCTGTAGGAAGCTGCAGCCAACTATAAGAAGACAAATCGGGAAGGAAAGATGAAAGGAGGAACCTAAACGACAGGAAAGGACTTAGAAGACACCAAATAAAGTGTGTAAAAAGAAGAGAATACAGAAGAGGAGGAATGGGACCAAATGACATTAAAAGGAGAAGAAATGGGTGCAAATGTTACTGAAGAAAAGACTTGGAATGGGTTCAAATGAGGAGGAGAAGGAAAAGTGGTCCAGAAGAGGGGAAATGGTAAAAAAAAAAATAGACGAAGGAACTCAGAAGACGGTAGAAATGGGTACCCAAATTGGCTAATGGAAATTGCAAATGAAAGGGCTCCAAGAAAACGCACCTAATAAATGGTACAGAGAACGGAGGCACGACGAGCCTAAAAAAAGGTTTGATAATGGATCCTCCTCCTTCCATATCCAAACACACACTGAAAGAAGGCGTCCGAGACGAGCAACCAGTTTCCCTCGGATTTACGAGTCAGCCGTAAAGATAAAGAGTGACTCGCATAAAACTCTACAACAATTTAGCGAGTTGGTAACTTGGCGGGAAAGGGGAGCTACCGTCCAAACGACGACGGCTGCCATATGTCCAGGTCCAGTCACTGGTCACCTATGTTCCAGGTCGAGTCACTGGTCACCTATGTTCCAGGTCGAGTCACTGGTCACCTATGTTCCAGGTCGAGTCACTGGTCACCTATGTTCCAGGTCGAGTCACTGGTCACCTATGTTCCAGGTCGAGTCACTGGTCACCTATGTTCCAGGTCCAGTCACTGGTCACCTATGTTCCAGGTCGAGTCACTGGTCACCTATGTTCCAGGTCGAGTCACTGGTCACCTATGTTCCAGCTCCAGTCACTGGTCACCTATGTTCCAGGTCCAGTCACTGGTCACCTATGTTCCAGGTCCAGTCACTGGTCACCTATGTTCCAGGTCCAGTCACTGGTCACCTATGTTCCAGGTCCAGTCACTGGTCACCTATGTTCCAGGTCCAGTCAGTCACTAGTTACAAGTGCTCCAGGGCGAGGCAGCTCCTATTTTTTAAGGTGGCACCTTACCACACCTGTTCCGGCCAGTTTTCAAGACTCTGGAGCGGTTTTGCCTCGCCAGAAGCGCACGAACCAATATTGAAGCCGATTGCCATTAATCCCATAAAACGTCAATATTGGGATGCTTCTATTTTCACTGGAGCTCTAGAATTTTGACGTGAGAGAGCTGTTGTGACTCTTATCAGGTCGAGAGCGTCAAAATTGTGATGCATTAAATGGGAGGACAGGTTTCTTAGGATAACCGCTCCTTGACTCCCGTCAGTGAGTCTCCAGCTGTTGTGACTCCCGTCAGTGAGTCTCCAGCTGTTGTGACTCTCGTCAGTGAGTCTCCAGCTGTTGTGACTCCCGTCAGTGAGTCTCCAGCTGTTGTGACTCTCGTCAGTGAGTCTCCAGCTGTTGTGACTCCCGTCAGTGAGTCTCCAGCTGTTGTGACTCCCGTCAGTGAGTCTCCAGCTGTTGTGACTCCCGTCAGTGAGTCTCCAGCTGTTGTGACTCTCGTCAGTGAGTCTCCAGCTGTTGTGACTCCCGTCAGTGAGTCTCCAGCTGTTGTGACTCCCGTCAGTGAGTCTCCAGCTGTTGTGACTCCCGTCAGTGAGTCTCCAGCTGTTGTGACTCTCGTCAGTGAGTCTCCAGCTGTTGTGACTCCCGTCAGTGAGTCTCCAGCTGTTGTGACTCGTCAGTGAATCTCCAGCTGTTGTGACTCGTCAGTGAGTCTCCAGCTGTTGTGACTCCCGTCAGTGAGTCTCCAGCTGTTGTGACCCCCGTCAGTGAGTCTCCAGCTGTTGTGACTCCCGTCAGTGAGTCTCCAGCTGTTGTGACTCGTCAGTGAGTCTCCAGCTGTTGTGACTCCCGTCAGTGAGTCTCCAGCTGTTGTGACTCCCGTCAGTGAGTCTCCAGCTGTTGTGACTCTCGTCAGTGAGTCTCCAGCTGTTGTGACTCCCGTCAGTGAGTCTCCAGCTGTTGTGACTCCCGTCAGTGAGTCTCCAGCTGTTGTGACTCCCGTCAGTGAGTCTCCAGCTGTTGTGACTCCTGTCAGTGAGTCTCCAGCTGTTGTGACTCCCGTCAGTGAGTCTCCAGGTCTTGTGACTCCCGTCAGTGAGTCTCCAGCTCTTGTGACTCCTGTCAGTGAGTCTCCAGCTCTTGTGACTCCCGTCAGTGGATCTTGTGTTCTCACGGTATTGCGTAAATTGTTCCGTACCTCACCCAACACATTTCCCAACCCCTGCGAATGTTCTATATAAATGTACACAGAAAGTGTAACAAGAGCAGACTACTCCATGGTGGGTCTGGCAAGAGCAGGATACATAATATTAAATACACAAACAGATATAATCTACTAACACATAAACACGAATAAACACACACACACACACACACACACACACACACACAAATACACCTTACGACACTGGAAGACAGAAGAGTAAGGGGAGACATGATTACTACCTACAAAATCCTCAGGGGTATTGACCGGGTAGACAAGGAAAAACTATTCAACACTGGTGGTACGCGAACAAGGGGACACAGGTGGAAACTGAGTACCCACATGAGCCACGGGGACGTTAGAAAGAACTTTTTCAGTGTCAGAGTAGTTAACAGATGGAATGCATTAGGAAGTGATGTGGTGGAGGCTGACTCCATACACAGTTTCAAATGTAGATATGATAGAGCCCAGTAGGCTCAGGAATCTGTACACCAGTTGATTGACAGTTGCGACGCGGGACCAAAGAGCCAAAGCTCAACCCCCGCAAGCACAAATAGGTGAGTACAAATAGGTGAGTACACACACACACACACACACACACACACACACACACACTCGGGTCTCGCGGCTGAGTGGACATTGCTCGGGGGTCGAAGTCGTAGGAGCCCGGGTTCGATTTCCGGTGGAGGCGGAATCAAATGGGCTATTTTTTCTTTCACCCTGATGCACCTGTGCATCTGACAGTAAATAGGTACCTGGGAGGTAGACAGCTGCTACGGGCTGTTTCCTGGGGATGTTTTTGTGTGACGTGTGTGTGTGTGTGTGTGTGTGTGTGTGTGTGTGTGTGTGTGTGTGTGTGTGTGTGTGTGTGTGTGTGTGTGTGTGTGTGTGTGTGTGTGTGTGTGTGTGTGTGTGTGTGTGTGTGTGTGTGTGTGTGTGTGTGTGTGTGTGTGTGTGTGTGTGTGTGTACGCGCGCGCGCGCGCGTTAGAGAAATATATGTAGTAGACATAATAGAGGAAAAATAGATTGGTTAGTAAGGCGGGTTCCAAGAGCTCACAGCTTGATTCTGCAGACACAAATAGTAAACACACACACACACATTCACAAGCTTATCCAAAACAACTGAACAAAAAGCTTCTAAATACTTTCCAATACCGTGGCAATTCTATAGAGCTTAATCCAGTGTGGTGTCTAGCAACAGGGCCCCGCTGGGAAAGGCAATCACAGCGGCTATTCATACAATCCCATGCAAATCCTTTACTTTCCAATACTGCTGCAGCTGTTGGGTTCTAATACCAGCGAAATACAAACTACAACAGTATGTCACTGAGGCTGTGGGAACTGCAGGAGATGACTGTTTTATAATACAGTAATTGTTTACCTTTCCTGTGATGGAGGTGATCGCTGCAAATTATTGGTGGGTGATGCGTGATGTTTCACGTCAGTTGTCAAGCCTCGGTCACGGGTAATTGGTGTGTTGTGTTTATCAAAAAGAATAAAGGCAGTATATGGGCGGACAGCACTGCTAAGGGAGTGTTGGTGGGGGGATTTGTTAGTCACTGCTGGGTGTTGGTGGGGGGGGGGATTGTTAGTCACTGCTGGGTGTTGGTGGGGGGGATTTGTTAGTCACTGCTGGGTGTTGGTGGGGGGGATTTGTTAGTCACTGCTGGGTGTTGGTGGGGGGATTGTTAGTCACTACTGGGTGTTGGTGGGGGGATTGTTAGTCACTGCTGGGTGTTGGTGGGGGGATTGTTAGTCACTGGTGGGTGTTGGTGGGGGGATTGTTAGTCACTGCTGGGTGTTGGTGGGGGGGATTGTTAGTCACTGCTGGGTGTTGGTGGGGGGATTGTTAGTCACTGCTGGGTGTTGGTGGGGGGATTGTTAGTCACTGCTGGGTGTTGGTGGGGGGATTGTTAGTCACTGCTGGGTGTTGGTGGGGGGATTGCTAGTCACTGCTGGGTGTTGGTGGGGGATTTGTTAGTCACTGCTGGGTGCTGGGGGGAGATTTGTTAGTCACTGCTGGGTGTTGGTGGGGGGGAGGAATAGAGGAAGGAATGATAGAAGGAACCTAACCTGACCATGCTAGAAAGGAGGAGATGGAAGGAGGACATGATAGAGAAGTATAAAATACTTAGGAGGATTGACAGAGTGAAAAAAGTGAAAATATTCACAATGAATACCAATGGAACAAGAGGATATGGATGGAGCTTTAAGACACAAGATGAGTCATAGTGATGTTGGGAAGTTTTCTTTTAATATAAGAGTCGTGGGAAAATGGAATGAACTAAAGGAGCAGGTTGTAGAGGCAAATTACATTCATATTTGTAAAAGCAGATATGGAAGGAAAATAGGATTTACAAACCACACATCAGAAAATATAGAAACGTTTCTCCATTTTCAGATGTGTGGTTTGGCTATACACCTTCAGTCACGTTACTGTAACTCATCGTCTGTGGTAGGGACATAGGTCAGGAGTCATTGCATTAGATAACCGGCGGCTTGAAAAGCGGGTCCCAAGAGCTAGTACTTAATCCTGCAGGCACAAATAGTACAAAAGGGAGTACAAATTGGTGAGTACACACACACACAAACAAAAGCACACAGTCTCTCACTACAAAATACCGCGACATGGTGTTAGATCGTCAAGAAGCAGCGCAACAATCCTCACCAGTTCCCCACGGGGTTTACAAACACGGGTTCCAACACTAATTGCAGATAATCCGCGCATGATTACAAGATCCTGTCCTTTATACACTTCATGCGGCCCATGTTTAAGGCTGGTTTCTTACAGGCAAATATTCACCACGTAGCGACAAGTGACTGAAAATGTTGGCCTCTGGCCGGTGTTGAAGAGGAGATATGCAGACGTGTAGTGAGTCATTTATTTTTAAAATGTATAATTTTTTTTTTACTTGAAGATGAATTCACAATATGCGAAAAGACTGTGCAATATGTCATCTTATGCACAAAATGTGAAAGTCAAAGAGAGAGAGAGAGAGAGAGAGAGAGAGAGAGAGAGAGAGAGAGAGAGAGAGAGAGAGAGAGAGAGAGAGAGAGAGAGAGAGAGAGAGAGAGTGAGAGAGTGAGAGAGTGAGAGAGTGAGAGAGTGTGTGTGTGTGTGTGTGTGTGTGACAGGAGGGAGAGAGGAGGGGCGGAGAGTGGGGGGTGTGTATGGTCTTGGAAAACTGAAAAGAAAATGAAAACAATAACAAGCTACCCGTCTGTGCGTACTCAGCAACACGTTCATGTACTCACCTAGTTGTGCTTGCGGGGGTTCAGCTTTGTCTCTTTGGTCCCGCCTCTCAACCATCAATCAATTGGTGTACGGATTCCTGAGCCTACTGGGCTCTATCATACCTATATTTGAAACTGTGTATGGAGTCAGCCTCCACCATATCACTTCCTAGTGCGCTTCAGTTATTAACTACTCTCACACTGAAAAAATTCTTTCTAACGTCTCTGTGGCTCATCTGGGTACTAAGTTTCCACCTGTGTCCCCTTGTTCGTGTTCCACCCGTGCTAAAGAGTGTGTTTTTGTCTACCCTGTCAATTCCCCTGAGAATTTTGTAGGTGGTTATCATGTCTCCCCTTACTCTTCTGTTTTCCAGGGACATGAGGTTCAACTCTTTTAGCCTTTCCTCGTAGCTCATTCCTCTCAGTTCCGGGACGAGTCTGGTGGCATACCGCTGAATCTTCTCTAACTTTGTCTTGTGTTTGTTACGACCCTGGATTTCTTAGATGGAAACCAGAGGTCAATTTACGTTTTAAATAATTACTTTACATTAATTCATAGAATTGGATCATGTGAGAAGGATATTTAATTACAATAACAATTACATGCTGGCCCCTTAAAGCTTGGTTCTGCAGTATTCCTGTCATCCTTGCCAAACGTAAGATGAATCTTGTTTCTCAGAGCATTCAGACTCTGACTAAGTATCAGCTTCCCTTAGAATTATTAAAGTAACTGGTAATGAAGATCGGGGAAGATTTGTATTGGTGTGGCTGTACGATAACCTAGGCATCACACTCCGGCAGCATTTTATAAGGGAGCGCAGAGCCTGTTTTCCTCACCATTTGGTCACCATTTGGTCCGGGAGACATCTCTCGACACGCAGGGTGTAGTCGCGCCTCCACAGATCTCTAGTATCCTCTCTTGATAATGGTAATGGCTCAAGAGAGCCACCACTTACGGGCTATTCATGCCCTACCACCTCTTGTGTGGCTTAATCTTTATCAATCACTCGTCTGTTTTCCTTCTTCTCTGGCTGGTGTGTGGTGTGGACATAACTCTCCTGTTTCTATTCTACTCCCTCCTCTTCCCTTACCTTATCCTGTGTCTAGATTACTAAGAGAAGTACCAGTGTTGCATGTTCGTTCTCTGGCAAAAGTGTGTAGTAGTTTGTGTAGCCTGAGCTAGTGTTTATATTCGTAGATTACTCTAGTTGTGTTGGTGAAACCACGTGTGCTCAAGTTGTTCCAGGCAACCTATAGCCTTTGCTAGTGGCCTATCCAAGGCCACACTGGACTTGTGATCCTGTGGTCCTGGGTTCGATCCCGGGCGCCGGCGAGAAACAATGGGCAGAGTTTCTTTCACCCTATGCCCCTGTTACCTAGCAGTAAAATAGATACCTGGGTATTAGTCAGCTGTCACGGGCTGCTTCCTGGGGGTGGAGGCCTGGTCGAGGACTGGGCCGCGGGGACACTAAAAGCCCCGAAGTCATCTCAAGATAGTGAATGAATAATTTTCAGCAAAATCACCATGAACAAGTGCTTCATTTTTTTATCAAACAGGCAATTCCAACTTTGCCTGTTTGAAGTACAAACTCTGACTCTTGGACACAAAATGATGTCTTATTAAATTGGCAATTAAATCAGATGTATGTACAATAAATTCTATACAAGAAGTAACTACTGTATAATTTTGTATGAAAATCAAACGTTATCCATTTGCTATATTCTATTTTCTCTCTTATGTTTAGCAGTGTCCAGTTTAAATAGTCAATAACACTTGCCCTTCCCGGACACTCCCTGCATTTGTTAAGCATACACTCCAGTTTCTTCATATCACTAACTGATTGTGCCATTAGTGTTTTATATGTTGATTCTTTATGCCCAATCACTGAAACTAACAGTTTTACAGTTTTATTAAGTGCAGATACGGATAAGAGTTCAAGGACCTCCAGCAATGATATACAGTACCACTTTTGCCTAAAGGTGCAAATCTTGAGAATACTATATCTATACTTTGCTCAATTTTGAATTGTATATAGTTCTTGTAAATTCATTAATAGGTGTTTTTGCTTTTGAACTTTATTACCATTCTTATCTCTAATGCTTAAAAAATCTGATATGCCAGGGAAAATTTTTGGAATCCTAATAATGCATTATTACCTATTTAGTTAATGGCCCCCAAAACATTATATACATGCATTATATACAACAAAAGTAAATGCTACTTTTTATCAATAACAATTATAAATAAATTATAACCAATATCATGAAAAAGGAATCTGTACAGTACAGTAATTTGATATTACTGTACAGTAATATGTTTTGATTTTTTTTTAAATATTAAAGTATAATTTCTTGAAAAGGTTTGTAAATATAGTATTGAATTTTGTTTATTCGTGTAATTTTATAGGACTTAAGTTCATTTTGCTTAAAAGTTACATTTATTTCACACTTTGAAGTTTCAGCATGGTAACTCTTGAAGCCAACCCATCCTCCTATTTAAAACACAAATAGGCATAATTCAGGGACCGTAACTAGCACCTGTGGGAACAATTAATTTTATAACAAAGTAGATGAATTATACAGTAGTATTCCAGAACCCAACATTCATTCTTGGAAAAAAAAACTTAAGGCATGTGCTGATTACTGGTGAGAATTTCACCTCTTCTGTCAATATCCATTACATAAATATTTCCCTACCTCTACTCTAAACATTCAAAACATCAATAATAAAAATACTAATTTTAACAATAATATTTATCAATAAAAACCCAGCATTGAATGTATTGAAATGCCTTGTACTGAAAAAAGTCACAGTGGCTTCCTGAAGCTATCTTGCTTTAGGGAGCAACAAACTGCCATTTACTATGGTCACATCTGCAATTGATGTGACCTTACTAAAACGTCACATCAATTGCAGATGTTCTATTTAGCCTAATGGGAACCAGAGCCAGGAATTTGGCCCTCCTCAAAGAAGTGCAGTGTGAGAGTGGCAATCTTCCACCCCACTGAAAAAAGCCTCCAGAAAGTCAGTGCAGCTTTACAAACTACACGAGCAAGGACAAGCAAACTGACTGACTAATTCCAGTAGTGGTTCAGTGACAAAGCTCTGTCTATACTGTGGATTTTCTCCAACACCATCGACAATCATCAGCAACAGTGTAACACTCACCATGTCTAGTTCCAACTCTCTCACAAGACACTACAAAGCAGACAGCAGTTCCAGCCATACCGAAGCTACCTGCTCTCGCCCTGCATTCGAGCTCCCCAGTCCCAACAGCATTCAAGCTCTGTGCTCTTGCCGTCTTTTGAGCTCTCTACCCACAGCCTTGTTCAAGCACTCTGCTCCAGGACATGGCACAAGCAGCCTCATCTCGGCTATTATGACATGTCATTTCCAACATTCGACTGCTGTAACCAAGACAATATTAAATAAGCAAAAACCACTATATTCGTTGAATGTTGTCACTCAATATCATTTACATTACATTGGTGAACCAGTGTCGAAAATACCCAGACACCTAACCCCAACAAACTACAATTTGGCCTCTCACTAGACTTCATCCACCATTGCTGCCTGCCATGGAATGCTGTCTGTAATTTTACCACAGCTGCATCTTTCATCATATACTGTATGTTATAAAACAATGTCTTAGAACAGAAGAAGTCAGGCTAAACCCAGTAGGAAAAAAAGGAATTATCTCAACAAGGAAAACTGAATAGATTGAAAAATACGAGTTAGCCTTGTTAGATTGAAAAATGTGAGTTAGCCTTGTACGTGCAAAGTGAAAGAAAGAATTGGTGATAAAAATTAAAAAAGAAATCAAAGTATAAGGAACTAAATGAGGCAGCTTATAAAGTATTTATATTGAACTGTGCATAAATTTTATAGGTTTTGTTTAATATTGAAAACAATACTACTGTACTGTTCTGTATGCCACATTCTGTCAACACAAATTATCGTGGATTAACCCTTGCAGTGCTCACTTGTTTCATGAGACAACTTCATGGTGCAGGAGTTAATGAGGGAGTCATTAACCCTAAAATTATTTTAAAACTTGAAAAAGTATATATATTACCAAATTTAAAAATTTTCATTTAAAATCACAGAGAGAAAAAGCATTAAAAACATTAAAATAGTTAAATTCATGACTTATTTACACAACCTATTGAGTGCATTAAGATGCCATGCACACTGCATGGTTAGTAAGTTCTTCTCTAAGTAAAAAACCATTTTGTACACTTTTGTTATATAAATGTTTGTCTTCTCTTGCCCTATTTTGCCAATATGTATATTTAAAATGCAATATTTATCTATCATTTTGCTGTCAATATCTGAGCAAAAAAATAATGTTAGATATGGGATATTAAATTCAGTTCAAAACAATTGAGATGGGAACTCGATACTGTCATCTGAAGTAAAGACTATTTCACTTAATGCAGAGAAAGAATGAGGCACCATTGTAAAATGAGAAATGTTGCAGAATGCACATAATAACAATCATTTCCTAGTTCATGACCCAAGACTTAATCATCTGCCACTAAATATCTGTCTGCCATTCCAACTTTATAACTCTACAGCATCACATCCAACTTCTAACTCTATTTACAACAAAGCATCCAAAATACAAAGAGTAAACCTTGCACTACAATACATCCCTTAAGCATTTCACCTATGTTTATGTAAAACTGGAAAAGACCTGTAAGAACATTTTGTGTGTATGTATGTATGTATGTGTGTGTATATATATATATATATATATATATATATATATATATATATATATATATATATATATATATATATATATATATATATATATATATATATATATATACAGTATATATATATTTCTACATTCAGTATTAATATATTTATAGCTTTGTACCAAAATACATAATTTATTCCAGGTATTATCAATACAGTATGTATATATGCTAATGAACACCTGTTACTGTAAATTACTGAGGTATACTTTTTTGTGAATTATATACCTAAATACATTTGCATTTAGTGCATAAAATGATAAAGTATGTGAATTGAACATACCGGTAATTAAAAAAAATGTACTGAATAAAATATTGTACCTGATGATGAAATTAAGCAACTGTCATTCATGTGGTTGGCTACTGACATGAGCAGAGTGGAAAATTATTTGACTAATGACAATCTGATAACATTTAACTCAATTTCATGATTTAAAACATACTTAGTCCATTTAATTGTACAGTAAAATATATTTGAAATTTATTCCTACCCCCACACCCCTGTAAACAAAATACACTGTTAGGCATTGTCAATGTTTGCTTGAAATTCGTCCTTTGCGTTCCATGTGATGGTCTTTGAGTAGGTATGCAGGGAGGTATGTAACTTGGCCAATGCGGTCTCTTGTCTCAAGGAACGGGTTTGGCAGAGTGTTATCTTGACTGCCTAAGGAAGTGTATCTGCAAAAAAATACAACAATATTTTTGTTAGTACAGTGGAACCTCAGTATTCAAACTTAATTGGTTCCTGAAGGCAGGAAGAATGCCGAAAAGTTCGAATACCGAACAATTTTTTCCCATAAGGAATAATATAAATTGGATTAATCCATTCCAAACTACAAAAATATATTAATGCAATAATTAAATGAAATAAATTCAAACACAGTACACACTTCCTTTTAAGAGAGTTGATGACATATGTGGAAGGTGGTGAGGCAGAGGATGAGAGATGTTATTCTTTGGCAGTGAAGTATTCTTCATGTGTATTCTTTACATGTATTCTTTGTGTAGAAAACAGAAGTATAATAAAGAAAAGTAATAACTTTGTGTAGAATAAAGAGATGTGTATTCTTTGGTCCTCGACTGCAGCCCGGTCAAGGACCAAGCCACAGGGATGATCTTGATAACAAGTTAGGTGAGAAGTTGGTGGAGGCCAAAACTGTCAGTAATTTCAAAGCATTATATGACAGAGTGCTGGGAAGACGGGACACCACAAGCGTAGCTCTCGTCCTGTAACTACACTTGGGTAATTACAGGGATGCTAAGCCCTGAAATCATCGCAAGGTCATTGCAAGGTAAGTCCCCTACCATTATACCTTCTGGTAGTTGTGCTTCTTGGGGTCTTTATCTTTTCTGTCTTTTTTTTCCCCCTCATTAAACATGCTGGATGCTTTTCTTACAGGAAACTTGTGTAAGGGTGATTGTTTTTGCCTGTGTTTTAAAATGTTTAAAGTAAGACATAGCATTGTCATTCAACAGGTTTATAACATGGTTTGTCACAGCTTTGTCAGGGTGACAGTTTTCAAGTAAACTTTGCACATGCCCTCCATTTTGCACACATTTCTTTTATTAGAGAACTAGATTTTGGCATACCAAACTCGGTAACAAGAACAGACACACGGGCACCACTTTCATATTTTAGCTATGAGGTCTTCATCTCCATTGTGGTTCTAATCATTTTTTTATTTGCTTGGCTCTTATCACTAACATTCTTAGGTGACTTGATGACTTATTTACACTAAGAATATCCAAAATATCCAGGAGAAAAGTGTAGTAGGTTGTACAATGAATAACAGCCAATATAAAACTGACACATCAAGGACGTGTGTTTACGTGTGAATTAGCAAACTGACAAATACCAAACATGAACATAGCGTCCAAATGCTGAAAGGTAAGAATTGTGAGTGGTCTCAATACTGAGGTTCCGCTTTGTATGGGTCAATAAGCCTTCTGTAGTTAACTTAGTTCTTATTGATATATAAATACACAAGGAGAGGTACTATTGCTTGGTCTATCTGTATCTTTTCCTGCCTATCTCTATCCTTACCTATCTCTCTCACTACCTATCTTTTCATCCTCCCCTCTTCCCTCCCTTGCATCCCCCGCTCAAGAAATACTGAAACAAATGTACGAGTCTCAGATACTTTGCTTTTCCTTTCTCTTAGTTTATTCCTTTTTGCTTGTTAACAACTCCCAGTTAATTACATTCCATATTTCACACTTAGACTCCATTGAATCGTTTAACTTGGGTCTCTCTTGACTTAGTTATGCTCCTCCTGTACCCCAGACCATTTCCCCTGCAAGTTTGGGTGAGGCTACCCCAAAGCATCTGGTCTCCAACTTTGAACACATACAGACATTCTCTCTTATAGGTATAGATTCGTTCATTGATGCATTTGTAATGCTTGTTACTATAGTGACAAACACACAGTATGGAGTTTTAGATGTATATTAATATCGTTTATTTACAGTGGTTGCCGTTTGAATGGTGTCATGACAAGTTTGTAACGTATCGGAAATTGAAGGAGGAGGAAATGATTGAAACTCATAGGGTGAGGGAGGTAGAGAGGTGGAAGGGAGTAGTGAGGTAGAGTGGTCAGGGAAAATGGAAAGTATAAAATGAGAGGGAGAGAATGAGATCATGGAGGAAAGTAGAAGAGTAGAAGGTAAGTGTGCTAGAATAGTAGAAAAATAGAAGGTTGTGCTACCATCCATTCAAGTTAATTATATATAAGACACGGAATGGAACTTGTCTGCACAACAATATGATCTGATGTTAACACGTATCAATTGTAAGCGTGTACTATTCATATAACCAAGAATCTTTAAGTCAAAATCTTAACCCAGTAAACTTCAGAGTGCTCTCTACTCTAGCTTTCCCTATACAAGATCTAGGGGGTCACAATTAAAAGCAATTTAAAAAGTGAACTAATCAATTATATATTTGCCATTGTATATTCACTCATATGAGGTAATCTTGAGGTTATCTTGAGATGATTTTGGGGCTTAGTGTCTCCGCGGGCCGGTCCTCGACCAGGCCTCCTTTTTGTTACACCCCCCCCAGGAAGCAGACTGTAGCAGCTGTCTAACTCCCAGGTACCTATTTACAGCTAGGTAACAGGAGCATCAGGGTGAAAGAAATATTTTGCTCATTTGTCTCTGCCTCCACCAGGGATCGAACCCAGAACCCTCAGGACTACGAATCCGAAGCACTGTCCACCCAGCTGTCAGGTGCCCTGAGTATCATAATTCAACCATATCACCTGATATTCGAATGTCAACATTAATACACAATTTGAGTCACCACGCACACAAGAAATTGAGAGCACCTACAGCTGACTGTCTCTGAGAATCACACAACAACTAAGTTTAAAACACAATATATGACAACCTTACAGTTCCCTCACCAAAGTCTTTGAGATTAAATTTGTAGAGAGGAGGGGGGTGGTACAGTTTACAAAGTCCCCCACCCGGCCTGGGAAGGCCAGTCTGGATGCTGAAACCTCTCTCAACAAGCGATCTGACTATCGCTGTCCTTCTCAATCCTCAAATGTACAGTTCCATGGGTATATGTATGGGGGAACTGGGAGCTAAGTTCCACCAACCAGGAGATAGCCTCTGGCTATCTACCTACCCAACCTAGACAGTGGGTTGTTTGAAGGAAACAACGCAGTCAGCAATTAACAGCTTAGTAGATGCGAGGTCACCTCACACGACCTGACCTGAAGGCAACCTGTTAGAATTAACACCTGAAAGGCCTGACTCTAGAATACTTATAGGGCCGACAACCTGATGCTAACAATATTTTGTGTGACTGAACTCTCATTTTATATAAAATATTAAATAAAACATTTATGGTGTTACAAGTTGAGTCTTGAGGTGCAGATGGTGGTGAAGATGGGAATGTCTGGAGAGAAGGTGATTTCTGGTACATAAGTCCGTTGTGCTGTTGTTGTTGCTGGCTGTGTTATGACCTCAGTGATTTCACTGGGTCATAACTAATGTAGGATTATGCAAATTTCACCATCCACGTTCACGGTTTCAGCCTTTTAATATATATTATATATATATATATATATATACAATATATATATATATATATATATATATATATATATATATATATATATATATATATATATATATATATATATATATATATATGTCGTACCTAGTAGCCAGAACTCACTTTTCAGCCTACAATGCAAGGCCCGATTTGCCTAATAAGCCAAGTTTTCATGAAATAATATATTTTCTCTAATTTTTTTCTTATGAAATGATAAAGCAACCCATTTCATTATGTAAGAGGTGAATTTTTTTTTATTGGAGTTAAAATTAACGTAGATATATGACCGAACCTAACCAACCCTACCTAACCTAACCTAACCTATCTTTATAGGTTAGGTTAGGTTAGGTAGCCGAAAAAGTTAGGTTAGGTTAGGTTAGGTAGGTTAGGTAGTCGAAAAGCAATTAATTCATGAAAACTTGGCTTATTAGGCAAATCGGGCCTTGCATAGTAGGCTGAGAAGTGCGTTCTGGCTATTAGGTACGACATATATATATATATATATACTGTATATATATATATATGTATATATGTATATATATATATATATATATATATATATATATATATATATATGCGGAAAATCCACAGAGAAATATGAAATGAGGTGAACGTTTCGGCTTTGTTAAAGCCTTTGTCAAGGATGGCTTAATCGTCATCTTGGACACATTCATGGGAGACATCTCCCGTCACGCAGAGTGCACTTGCACCTCCACAGATCTCCAGTATCAGCTCTTGATACTGGTGATGGCTCAAAAGGGCCACCACTTACGAGCTATTCATGCCCGTGCCACCTTTTGGGTGGCTTCATCTTCATTTTAACACATTCAAACGGGAGAAATCTCCCGTCACGCAGGGTGTAGTCGCACCTCCACAGATCTGCAGTATCATCTATTGATACTGGTGATGGCTCAAAAGGGCCACCTCTTACTAGCTATTCATGCCCGTGCCACCTTTTGGGTGGCTTCATCTTCTTCATCTGTTTAAAACACGGGAGAAATGGGAGACATCTCCCGCCACGCAGGGTGCAGTCGCACCTCCACAGATCTCCAGTATCAGCTCTTGATACTGGTAATGGCTCAAAAGGGCCACCACTTACGGGCTATTCATGCCCGTGCCACCTCTTGGGTGGCTTAATCTTTATCAATCATCAATCACCAAACCAGTATTCACCACTTGGTCCGGGAGACATCTCCCGTCACGCTGGGTGCAGTTGCGCCTCCACAGATCTCCAGTATCATCTTTTGATACTGGTAATGGCTCGAAAGGGCCACCACTTACGGGCTATTCATGCCCGTGCCACCTCTTGGGTGGCTTAATCTTCATCAATCAATCAATCAGAATATGTACAGACATCTCCCGTCACGCAGGGTGCAGTCGCACCTCCACAGATCTCCAGTATCATCTATTGATACTGGAAATGGCTCAAAAGGGCCACCACTTATGGGCTATTCATGCCCAAGCCACCTTTTGGGTGGCTTAATCTTCTCTCTCTCTCTCTCTCTTCCTCATCACCACCGGGAGACATCTCCCGTCACGCTGGGTGCAGTCGCACCTCCACAGGTCTCCAGTATCATCTATTGATACTGGTGATGGCTCAAAAGGGCCACCACTTACGGCTTCATCTTCATCTTAACATATTCACAAGGGAAACATCTCCCATCATGCAGGGTGCATTCGCACCTCCACAGATCTCCAGTATCAGCTCTTGATACTGGTAATGGCTTAAAAGGGCCACCACTTACGGGCTATTCATGCCCGTGCCACCTTTTGGGTGGCTTAATCTTCATCAATCAATCAATCAATCAATCCTTCTCCTTAGTCGAGACACACCACCACACACTTGGTCCGGGAGACATCTCCCGTCACGCAGGGTGCAGTTGCACCTCCACAGATCTCCAGTATCAGCTCTTGATACTGGTGATGGCTCGAAAGGGCCATCACTTACGAGCTATTCATGCCCGTGCCATCTTTTGGGTGGCTTCATCTTCATCTTCTTCATCTGTTTAAAACACGGGAGACATCTCCCGTCACGCTGGGTGCAGTCGCACCTCCACAGATCTCCAGTATCATCTATTGATACTGGTAATGGCTCAAAAGGGCCACCACTTACGGGCTATTCATGCCCGTGCCACCTTTTGGGTGGCTTCATCTTCATCTTAACACATTCACAAGGGCTTCATCTCCCATCATGCAGGGTGCATTCGCACCTCCACAGATCTACAGTATCATCTATTGATACTGGTGATGGCTCAAAAGGGCCACCACTTACCAATTCATGCCCGTGCCACCTATTGGGTGGCTTCATCTTCATCTTAACACATTCACAAGGGAGACATCTCCCATCATGCAGGGTGCATTCGCACCTCCACAGATCTCCAGTATCAGCTCTTGATACTGGTAATGGCTTAAAATGGCCACCACTTACGGGCTATTCATGCCCGTGCCACCTTTTGGGTGGCTTAATCTTCATCATCAGCCAGTAAGAGACACACCACCACACACTTGGTCCGGGAGACATCTCCCGTCACGCAGGGTGCAGTTGCACCTCCACAGATCTCCAGTATCAGCTCTTGATACTGGTGATGGCTCGAAAGGGCCACCACTTACGAGCTATTCATGCCCGTGCCATCTTTTGGGTGGCTTCATCTTCATCTTCTTCATCTGTTCAAAACACGGGAGACATCTCCCGTCACGCTGGGTGCAGTCGCACCTCCACAGATCTCCAGTATCATCTATTGATACTGGTGATGGCTCAAAAGGGCCACCACTTACGAGCTATTCATGCCCGTGCCACCTATTGGGTGGCTTCATCTTCATCTTAACACATTCACAAGGGAGACATCTCCCGTCATGCAGGGTGCATTCGCACCTCCACAGATCTCCAGTATCATCTATTGATACTGGTGATGGCTCAAAAGGGCCACCACTTACCAATTCATGCCCGTGCCACCTATTGGGTGGCTTCATCTTCATCTTAACACATTCACAAGGGAGACATCTCCCATCATGCAGGGTGCATTCGCACCTCCACAGATCTCCAGTATCAGCTCTTGATACTGGTAATGGCTTAAAATGGCCACCACTTACGGGCTATTCATGCCCGTGCCACCTTTTGGGTGGCTTAATCTTCATCATCATCATCATCAGCTGAAATTAGCACCATTTGGTCACCACTTGGTCCGGGAGACATCTCCCGTCACGCAGGGTGCAGTTGCACCTCCACAGATCTCCAGTATCATCTTTTGATACTGGTAATGGCTCGAAAGGGCCACCACTTACGGGCTATTCATGCCCGTGCCACCTCTTGGGTGGCTTAATCTTCATCAATCAATCAATCTTCTCCTTAGTCAGTCTGGTGTTGACAAAGGCTTTAACAAAGCCGAAACGTTCACCTCATTTCATATTTCTCTGTGGATTTTCCGCATAAAATGATCAGTGTTTTGTGATCGTCAATTGCATATATATATATATATATATATATATATATATATATATATATATATATATATATATATATATATATATATATATATATATATATATATTATACATATATATATATATATAATTATTGCCCATGTAGTGAAATATTCAAGTAGCAGTGCAGTAGTAATAGAGCACTTATTTTACTTGACATTATATACAATCAATTTAATTTAATTTCATGATATAGGTTTATGTTTGTTAGTTGACTACCTACCTGTTAGAGATTTCGAGGATCAATGTCCCAGTAGCCCGGTCTCTGGCTAGGTTATGCATATACTGTACTGGCATTGTTTTTTCTTTTGTTCAAGTTCTTTAAGGGGGATTGGGTTGAGCTGCTCTTGTTCAATGCAAGCCATATTCAATACTAGAAATAACTGGCTGGTACCTGGCATACAACTGGTGATTGTGGTAGCCTTATATTTCTGTTTACCAGACTGTTTTTAGGCCCAGATTGCATGTAAAATGGTTGATGGGAAAGCTGTCTGGCATCCGTTGCATGTCATTAGTATTTCATGAAATCCCTGGGAATATATTGCAGATGTTCTAGTGGTATGTGGGACTCCTATAAATGTGGAATTCTTGTGATAATAAAATAGTTGCTACATTAATTCTAATATAGCTTGCTACACATACATTTAATTCATTGATATACATGTATCAATGAATGTATCACTGGATGATTGAATGAATGTATAAATGTACATATCAATGAATCTATATAAAATGTAAATGTTCATTTGTTCAAAATCGCTAATCTCCAAAAGTTCTTCACCGATTGTTTTGAAATTTTGACACAACTTTCCATTTGAATATGCGCGTGTTTTTATATGCCTGCTATATAGATGTCACACTTGTGACAGGTAAAAACATTTTTTTTTTTAACTCTTTTTCATGTGAGTTTTCATGTGAGGGAAATCTCGGAAACCTCTTTACCGATTGCTGTGAAATTTTGACACAACATTGCATTCAAATACGCGCATGTTTTTATATACCTACTATATACATGCCACACCTGTAACAGGAAAAAAATGTTTTTTTTTTTTGTTTTGTTTTTTAAAAACAGCACCATCTGTTGGACGTAAAAGCATCACACGCTATACTAAATATGTTACAATTCCATTTCAAGGTTTCCGATTGCATTGATAAATTGAATTTTCATAGATTTCAATTTATTTTCATTTTGATTTAATTATTTTGTGTGACATTGCTTTGGAATTGAGCTGTGTTGTTTACCAGACTGTTCATTTTGTGAATATAGTTTATTTTTTTTTTTTTTCATTTTTTTTTAACTGTTCTTATTTTTCAGTGATGGGAACATCAGATCATTTGGGAATGCATCGAGCAAGGAAGTGGGGAATGGTGGGGAGGACGAGGGGACTGGGAAGTGGGGAATGGTGGGCAGGACAAGGGGACAGGAGAGCGGGAGAACGAGGGGACGGGGAAGGGGGGGAAATGGTGGAGAGGGACGGGAGGGGACAGGGAAGGGGTGGGGACAAAGAGGGGGGGAATGATGGGGGAGGACAAGGGGATGGGGGAGGATGAGGGGATGAGGGAGTGTGGGAATGGTAGGGAGGATGAGGGGAAGGAAGAGGGTTGCTGTGGCTCAGCAACGCCCACACGTTTCTGAGCCATAGCAATACATGGTCGGGTACAGCTAGTGTATCAATAAGAACATAAGAACAAGGTAGATTGCAGAAGGCCTAGTGCCCCATAAAAAGCAGCTCCTATTTATATCCTTGTATGGGCAAATAGGCCATATAAGAATGAGTTGTGTCCAGCTGGGTGGATATAAATAGGCGCTGTCTGGTGTGGGCCAATAGGCATTTTGCAGTTGCCTCAGTTAATATGTTATGTTTGACAAATACATTCATTCATAGATTCCATTCATTCATTGATATATATGCATCAATGAATATGTATACTGAATGAAAGAATGAATGTATACATATCTGAACAGCATACTGAATGAAATAATAAATGTATTCATATCTGTACAGTATACTGAATGAAAGAATGTCTTCATTATGTTCAATGATAATTGGTTGACTCTGGTATACTCCATTACAACCATACAGAGTTCTGAAAACCCAACGAAGATAATTAAAATAAATATCATGTACTGTAATTATAATTAAATTTTATACCATGACAATTACCAAACTGACCTAGTAACATTTGTAATGATAACTGCATTTGCATAGCAAGCAATAATGAAATAATAGGATTTTCATGGGCCAAGGTAAACCCTACTACATCCATATAGAGCTTTTCTAGCCATATTAGTTTTTATTATCAATATACGATAACAGCATTACCCCGTAAATATGTATGACAATAACCGCACTTCGAGGATTTTAGATTAAAAACTATCATGCATGACATGTTCAAAGATCATCAATCTGCTCTCAGTTGGCTAAAGATCAATGTACCTTCAGTTGTTGAAAGATCATCAATTACACGTTACTCCTCCAGTAAATGATCTTGGAAATGTAATTTGATAGTTCACCTTTTTAATTGAATTCTTTGACTTTTTCAAGGTAAACTATCAAAGAAATGACTAGACACCTATGTATCTTCTGCCAAAATAACTGAAGTTAGAAGTATATTCTAGAACCATATTGCATGACGCTGTTAATTCCCAAGATAAAAATTGTAGTATAAACTATAGTCAAGTGTCAGTAAAATTCTCTTAATGACCTGCTTTGCAATGACCAACTTACCCTCTGTCATAGAGGTTGCAGTAGGGAAGATAAAGACCACGAATAAAATCCCAAACATTATTGTATTTCCAGTTGAGGATTGCACTGACACGCATCATTGGGGGCCAATCCTTATCAGTTGGTGAGAAGAACTCGAGAGTATCTGGAAACCAGTTAAAAAACAGCATTGAAAGTAATGAAACACCAATTTATGGGTGAGCCCCAGTGGCTCCTTTGAAGCTATATGCAAAGAGTTAACACTGGGTTACATCAGCCATAGAGTTCTAGAAACCTACTGAGGACCAGAGCCAGACCCGAGCCCCCCCTCACAGAGGTGCAGGGAGTGATGACATTTATTTTTGCCACCTCACCGGGAAAGACCACCAGAAAGTCAGCAAGTCGAAATAAACCAATGCTGGATTCAAAAGAAACTGAAGCCTCAAAACCAGATGAAAGAACTCTCCAGACCATGTAAACAAACGATCAAATTCTCTCAGAAGTAGCATGAGCTCGTTCGCCCCACCTCCCCTATTCATTTCGTGGGAGAAGGAGGTAGCTCATTACCTGTTAGAACCTGAAGTCCCAGTTCTACAGCAGATGTAGACATCCACCTGATGACCTAGAAGGGAGGGAGAAGAATCTGGGAGCCACCAGGCTCACCCAGAAATTGGCATTTTGTTACAGTCAACACTGATTTTCTGGGGAAGCCCCTTGTGGCATACAGAAGCACCAAGAGTAAAGGCCACAACACCAGAGGCAGTGGCAACCCCGTAACCTCTACATCAGCACTAGGACTGAGAACTCGGGTCCCGACAGATGGTGAGTTTCCTCTCCCCTCCCCCCAAAAGGGTTTTGTTGGTGGGGCAAACAAGCTTATGCTAGTTCTGAGAGAACTCAATCATTTGTTTACGCAGTTGGGGGGGGGGAAGTTCTTTCAGCCAGTTTTGAGGCTTCGATTTCCTTTGAATCCAACAGTAGTTTGTTTTCATTTGCTCACTTTCTGGTTGCCTTCCTCGGTGAAGGGGCAAAAATAAATGTCACTGCTCCTTGCTTTTCTGTGTGGGGGTTGGGCTCTCACTCTGGTTCCTGGTAGGCCTCTACAACTCTACGGCTGATGTAACCCAGTAGATGGTAACCCTCTGGAGGAGCCCTTTGTGGCTCCTCCAGAAATTCTATGGAATATTTGTCACAGTTTTGCATGTTTCAATAGTGTATGACGTTACCCGAGTATGGGTCACCCTGTCGAGTGCCCATGATGACAGCTTTGATTTTCGGTCTTTTCTCCAGCAACTTGAACAATGCAACTTTCATTGGACCCGGAAGAATCTCACAATCCAAGTTATATCTGAAAAAAACATTAAACATATAAAATACACAGAAAATGCTTAAAATAAGATCTAAAGCATATTTTAGAGAGTAATTAAATTATATATGACAATGGGGTCCTGATAAAAGGGTTATTAAAAAGACTGAGTATACATTTGTAAATTATAAATCTATAATAATCAATGAAAAATTCACAATAAAAATGCTAGAGCATTTTCTATTTTCATATTCATTTTCCTGAAGCTGATTTTTGTCTTTGGTCCCTCCTTTTTATTTATAATAACCTCTCTTTGAAGCACTGGCTACTTGTTACCCAAATATATTTGAAAGTGGTTAGCTAAATATTTCTTCATTAACACTTTCGCGCACCCCACCCGCCACCCCCTCAACTATGCGTAGTGGGTCCCAGCGTTTCACGGGAGCACGCGTTAATTCTGAAAAGTGTATACTCTCTTCAACTTTGTCACCTCAATTCTCGTCCTACAAGATTAAATTTGGCATTATTGTGTTCGCAATAGAATTCTCTACAGCACTAAATGCATATAAACTCCAAAAGCCCGGCTAATTACCCGCAGCAAACAGAGAAAGTGCGAACGAGTTACCCAGGAGCGTGCAAAAGCGATAAAATGTGTTCACTCTTTTCACTCTGGTCACCTCAATTTTCGTCCTAGGTCTTTCATTTTGGTATCAATGGGTTCGCCATAGAATTCTCTAGAGGAATATTACCATACAAAATAAAAAACCTGGTCACGCTCCACCTGCCGACGAGTTGAAGACGGGCCACGCGTTAGCCGCGAGTGAACGCCCAGACGCCTTCCAGCTACACTTCCAATTCCTACCCACAAATGTTTAGTATTTTTACCGGTTGCTAATCTCAATTTTCGTGTTACAGCACTCATTTAGGTATGAAATTGTTCCCAATACAATGCTTTAGATGGATATGTGCATATAAGGGCCAATTGAAGAACAATATTGCCAGTACAATACGCAAAAGTGTGAACAAATAAAAAATATACAAAATAATACAACTTTTTGTACTTACCACTTCAGTGTTGTGTGGTGAACATGACATGGGTTGAACATTTGTTCGATATATTATATATTGAACACCAGTCCCCAAAAAATCAGATAAAAACCTGATTTTTGGCAATTATTTTAGTAGACGACGCAGCATTGCGTCGTTACCGAGATTACCGACAGTAAACTTATGACGCAATGCTGCGTCGTTACCGGACGAAAGTGTAACAGGAAAAGCAGACCTAATAGAAAAAATTTCAAATTATTCCACAGAGTGTGAAAAGAACCAGACATTAAATGAGTAGAGCAAATACCTAACCTGTTTATGGATTCCTGAACAAACTTTGTGACCTGAGGAAAAGCATTCTTCTCTGTAATGTACACAGCTTGGAGTTTGGTATTCGGAAAATTCCGCTGCATCATGGCATTGACTATGTGTAGTACTGCCAAACAGTCTTTACCTCCATTGTAACAAATACAAATTTCTTCAGCTCTGAAAAACAGTGAAATTATAATATGATGAGCTAATAGTGAAAAGATTTCCACTATTCTTGAATATAGAAGCTGGGTCATTGAAAACACAGATGTTACCAATGACCCACCAATTGTAAAGCAAAGCTATATACAACAAAACACTGAGACACATACAGAGATAGTATCAATGATCTAGTTATTGTGAAGCCAGACTAAATACAATAAACTAATGACCAACATACAAAGCATCCACCCAGAAGTCTCTCATGCTCACGACAAACATTCTGCCACATCCATATCGTCACATACTGTACTTATAAAGATGCGCAACTTCTTTGAATAACTAATAAAAACATTATGAAAATAGGCTAGTATAAAATAATACACTTTAACCACTGCACTGCGCAAAGCGCCTTTAGGCGCTCAGAGAGCTGTGCTTTTTGTTTTTTAATTTGGCTATATTTTAATGTTTTTTAATGTTTTCATTACTATTTGTGTTTTGAAATGGAAATAGTTGACTTTGGAAACATTTTGACATTAAATTTACCTGAACATTTGTAAAAATAACAAAAATATGTCCTTGACAATTGCACCAAGACGTTTTTGCCGAAAATAGGTGAGCAGTGCAAGGGTTAATCTATCTATTAATGTGAAGGAAGACAATAACATATTTATAATTTAAAAACTCAGTTTTGAATGTAATGAAATGCCTCTTTCTGGAGGAGCCCTAGTGGCTTTCTGAAGCTAACTTGCCGAGATTGGTCCACATTAAAAGGTCACATCAGTCGCGAAGTTCAGTTTGGCCTACCAGAGCCAGAACCTGAAACCCCCTCTACTCAAAAGAGGCACATGGAGTAGGTGACAATCCACCATCTTCCCAGAAAACACCACCAGAAATTTTGTGCAGCTTTACAGACAACTGGAAGGTTCACAGAAAATGAAGCCTCAAAAACTTTCAAACAACTCCATAAACAAGTTTCACTGAACAAGGATTTCCTTGAAAAGAGCTTGAAACTCATTAGTACCGATTACCTCCACCAGGTAGCCAGATCCAGGATTCCAGTCTGCTCCTCAACTGCTCCCCAAGTCAGTTCTGGACCTGATGAACAAACCCATGATGAACCAACAAACCTGGAAGGAAGGAGGATGTCAGAGAACCACTGGGACTCTTCCAGAAAGAGGCATTTCATTACATTCAATGCTGGTTTTCTGGAGGGAGGCTCCTGGTGGCTCCCTGAAGCTAACAAACCACAGAAAAAGGAAAAGAATTTACCAGGAAGAAGAGGCAGCAGGCACCTAAGACAAAGAAGAGAAACCAAGCCAGGCAACACAGCCCAAAGTCAAACAAAACCAACTGGGCCCCAAGAACATTAACCAAATATTGGGCTACAAATAGCCCAATAAGGATAATAATAGAATAAGGATGGCATACCCTGTTAGAATGCCATAACCTCTAAGCCTGAATATATCCTTAGCCTAGGACATATTAGAGACGATGGCAGCCAAGGCCAAATAGTGTATCTACATACATCATGGGCCCCGAGAGTAGACCTCAGGCAGCTAGATTTGATGACACTGTGGACAACCTGAGAAATGTGAGCTTTGGAATAGGGAACCAAAGAAACTGAATCAATCAACAATTCATCCACTGAGAACCAGCAGCATGCAGGTAGTGGCAAAGAGCCGCCACCAGACACAAAAAATGATGCACCTCCAACTATACCAACTAAACATCAATCGCTAAAGGAATCCTCTGGAAGCCTGCCAAGTCATTCATTGTCAGAAAATAAGGTGGCTGCAAACGAACAAACCGCCTAACACGGCCAAAAGAAGAAGAGCCTGAAGCTCCCCAACCCAACAGCTGAGGTGAGAGACAAGAAAACCACCTTAAGAAAAACATCACGAGTTGAAAGAGAAACCATAAACTGAGTCAAAGTAAGAAAAGCCAAAACACAGACAAGGGACCAAGATAGCTCAGGAGAAGTATGAGCAAGTAGGAGGTCGAAGACTGCATGAGATAACTTGTGGAACTGTGCAACACTAAATGCCAGCAACAGTAGTTTTGTCCTAGACGAAAGATAAGAGGTGACAGAATTAGGCAAGAGATGCCGATCAAGAAATAACCAAGATAAAAAGAAGAGAACATGGTGAACTGAAGCAAAAGACAAGTGGCAAAAAACAAATACAGTAGTAGCAAGACACGTTAGGCCACCTCATACTCTAGCCACAATCTTCCCAGAAAACACCACCAGAAATTTTGTGCAGCTTTACAGACAACTGGAAGGTTCACAGAAAATGAAGCCTCAAAAACTTTCAAACAACTCCATAAACAAGTTTCACTGAACAAGGATTTCCTTGAAAAGAGCTTGAAACTCATTAGTACCGATTACCTCCACCAGGTAGCCAGATCCAGGATTCCAGTCTGCTCCTCAACTGCTCCCCAAGTCAGTTCTGGACCTGATGAACAAACCCATGATGAACCAACAAACCTGGAAGGAAGGAGGATGTCAGAGAACCACTGGGACTCTTCCAGAAAGAGGCATTTCATTACATTCAATGCTGGTTTTCTGGAGGGAGGCTCCTGGTGGCTCCCTGAAGCTAACAAACCACAGAAAAAGGAAAAGAATTTACCAGGAAGAAGAGGCAGCAGGCACCTATGACAAAGAAGAGAAACCAAGCCAGGCGACACAGCCCAAAGTCACACAAAACCAACTGGGCCCCAAGAACATTAACCAAATATTGGGCTACAAATAGCCCAATAAGGATAATAATAGAATAAGGATGGCATACCCTGTTAGAATGCCATAACCTCTAAGCCTGAATATATCCTTAGCCTACGACATATTAGAGACGATGGCAGCCAAGACCAAATAGTGTACTGTATCTACATACATCATGGGCCCGAGAGTAGACCTCAGGCAGCTAGATTTGATGACACTGTGGACAACCTGAGAAATGTGAACTTTGGAATAGGGAACCAAAGAAACTGGATCAATCAACAATTCATCCACTGAGAACCAGCAGCATGCAGGTAGTGGCGAAGAGCCGCCACCAGACACAAAAAATGACGCACCTCCAACTATACCAACTATACCAACTATACCAACTAAGCATCAATCGCTAAAGGAATCCTCTGGAAGCCTGCCAAGTCATTCATTCTCAGAAAATAAGGTGGCTGCAAACGAACAAGCCACCCAACACGGCCAAAAGAAGAAGAGCCTGAAGCTCCCCAACCCAACAGCTGAGGTGAGAGACAAGAAAACCACCTTAAGAAAAACATCACATGTTGAAAGAGAAACCATAAACTGAGCCAAAGTAAGAAAAGCCAAAACACAGACAAGGGACAAAGATAGCTCAGGAGAAGTATGAGCAAGTAGGAGGTCGAAGACTAAATGAGATAACTTGTGTTACTGTGCAACACTAAATGCCAGCAACAGCAGTTTTGTCCTAGACGAATGATAAGAGGTGACAGAATTAGGCAAGAGATGCCGATCAAGAAATAACCAAGATAAAAAGAAGAGAACATGGTGAACTGAGACAAAAAACAAATACAGTAGTAGCAAAAGACACGCTAGGCCACCTCATACTCTAGCCACAAGGAAAGACCCAGGTGTAATACCAACAAACCAACTATCTGTACACCATACAAATGGCAATAGAGATGCATCAGACACTCCAGACACATAGAGCAGAGGATAAATTCAAACCAGCAAAGTACACCGCCGGGCTAATTTACTGGATGAGGCAGAGCTACGGAAAAATGCCTAGAATTGGACACCGAACTAGAAGCACTGGAAACCAAGGCTGGGCCGGCCACCAAGGAGCCAGAAGGATTACTCTTTCCAAGTACAACTCGAGACTCGACAACACTTGAAGCAACAATTGAATCAGGACAAAAAGAGGTAAATGCACCTCCACTTCAACCACATCAGTTGAAAGGCATCCACTGCAAGCGTCTTACGATCGGAAAATGGAGCCAGGTAGGAAAGATGGGTGCCAGTTCTACACCAACATAAAGCGATCCACCTTAGGAAGACCGAACACCTTGCAGAGCCAATGGAAGGACTCATCATTGACAGTCCACTCTATGGAGATGGGCCAAAAGTGAGACAATCTGTCTGCGAGGACACTAGACACACATAGCACTTGAACCGTGAGGAAACCCAAACCCCAAGAAGCCAAAAGATGAGCTACCCAAAGCACCCAGTTCCACAGGGAAAATAACCAAAGCAACCCCCCCCCCCCCAACAGTTCAGGCAATGAACCACTGGGGAGCATTTGGGCCCCAACCACAAACCCTGGGCAGCCTAATGAGCAATGGACATGAAGCCCCAACCAAGAGTCGTGGCATCCATGAACACAATGAGCAACAGGGTTGGATGGCTCCACAGGACTGAACCCTGAAAAGCCAGATGGGAACACCAGCAAAGCAAGAGTCGACAAAGGACAGTTAGGGTACAAATGAGATCACAAGGTCAGTGCATAATATTTAAACATCTTGTGCCATGGCAAGTCAATAAGTAGGTAATTAAGGAGAAAGTACTATGGCAGCATGATTATACAACACTGGAAAAGGATGTGAGGATGGGGGGAAGGATCGATGTCCAACAATTTAGACCATCGGGGACACCAACCTGCAAGATTCAAGGCCAACGCATATCAAATAATCACAGCAAATGAACAAGCAACTCGGTACCGGTAGTGCTAATCTTCCACATCAACTTACATGTGGGCAAACTCAATCTCATGCAACTCAAAGTTTGGTGTTAGAAAAGTACTGTAATTGTGCACTTTGAAATTCATATTATCTTAATTTGTACAATACAAGGGTGATCATTATTAAATAAAGGATTCTGGCTATTAAAGCTGTACATAATCACATTATATATATTAAAAATGCAAGACTTTGCATGTTATATTTACCTATATTGATCATAACACTGCTTAAGGATATTCAAAGTTTCTTCTACAGGTTCCTGTAAGGAAGGCGATGATAACAGAAGTTTGTCAATGTATTCCCATGGTGAAGTGACAGTGTCCTCCTTGTAGTCTATTACAAAACCTGGACCAAAACAATTTTCATGTTATAACAAAATATACAATATTAATAAGGTGTAATTGTTGTTATAGGGAAAATCATTGAGCAGTATAAGTATAGGAAAACACATCAGCAACTTACCTCCTGGAAGCTTACTCCGAAGATGCTGTTCTGCTGCTGCTAGAACGTCAGCATCAAGGGACTCCATGGTGATCTTTGTTTTATAGTAGCTGAAAATGCAACATAATAATTATTATATGAACTGTTAATAGCACTTGCAAATTATTGCCACTTTAAACTTTAGTATTTAAGATATCGTATTAAAAATAGAATGCTAGTTTTTCTTACATTTTTCAAGACCCTATTCATAATGTTTCCTGAAGCTAACCACAGAATAAGAAAGGGGGCTTACCAGCAAGTAGGAGAGACAGTAGGCATCTGAGATACAAAGCCACACTCAACCAACTGAGAATAGAAGTACTAATCAAATATCGGGCTACCAGCACCCTGTTAGAAGGCCAAAGCCACTGACCTCGGCTATCAACCCGGGAAATATTAGAGAAACCAGTGGCGAAAGCCACATATTTATAAACATCAGGGGTTTGAAGATAGACTGAAGGCTGGCTAGATTTGACACTGCAGACAACCTGAGAAATGCGAGCTTAGAACAGGGAACCAAAGAACCTGGATCAACCAACAAGGAATTCACTGAGACAGAACCAGTGGCACTCAGATAGTGGCAAATAGCTGCCCCGGGATGGAACAAATGATGTATCCCAGGCTGAACCAAATAAGCATCAATCCACCTCTCAGGAAGCTGATTGATACATTCTTTGCCAGAAAAAAAACGGCTGTGAACAAACCACCCACCAGGGCACAAAAGAACGAAACCCCTGCCTCTGGAGAAGAGTCTGAAGCTCTCCAACTTGACACCCAGAGGTGATAGGCAACAAGACAACTGCCTTAAGAAAAACATCACGAGCCAAAGGGGGAACTGTAAACAATAGCGAGGAAAGAAAAGCCCTGGAAAACAAACACGAAGGCTCTGAGACAAAGCCAGAGTTCATGCCCATTGCCTGGGACAGAAAATAAAAGTCCAGAGGAGAGATCTTGGAATAAGGGGCCAACTGGAAGTAAGAAAGCCCTAGAACCTCAGCTAGACTAGGTGGCATAACTGCCTCCATGCCAGAAATGGAAGGAGCCACTCCTAGGAAGGCTGAGCGACACCCCGAGCTAAATCCTGCCCCATCTCTGAAACCCTCAGATGTTTCGGAGTGGAAGCCAGAGGAGAGGAATGGGAGATGGCCACACCACACCCGAAGGGTAGGGAATTGAAGGCATGGACAGAACCAAGGTGGAATTCACCAACACCTCCAAGTCCAGCTCCCTAAGAACAAGAAGGGCCAACTCTGTGGCATCTAACCAGGCACAAAGCTGCAAACACTGAAGGCAGGCAAACTGAACCTGTTAAGTAGCTGTCTGTTAAGCTTGCACACTTCTTTGGAAAGTCTGAGAGAAGAGGTACATGGAGGAACAAACTCCACAGGACTCACAGTAAAAGGTGTCACTTGGCCAACAGACAGCATGGTGGAGGCAGAAAAACACCCCATGGCACAGACAGCAAACAGCCCTCAAACTTGCACAGGGCGAGAGTGAGATCGAAGGGGATATCCATAGACCACACTGAAACCCCCTATGATTACCAGGGACCCGAAGGACTGACCAAACAGAACACCCAGCCACTGGGGGTACACATCAGAAATTACATAAATAGGCCAACACAACCTAGGCAACACAGTTGGCAAGGCTAAACTCGGCATACAATGTAAAACAAGCACAAACCTCACATGCACCCCAACAGGGCATTAATGACCCTGGCTGGCTCAGTGAAAGCCAGTCACAAAGTTCCAACTAGAGCCAAGGCTAGACTAAACCGAAAGCTGAGGCATCTGTGAATACATCGAGTGAGGATGAAGGAAGGTGCCAGAAAACTAAACCCAGAAAAGATAGCAAAAGCTGGTAAAACAGCATCCGGCAAAATGCCAGTGGAGTCCGCACCCAGCGATAGTGGCAGCGGCAAAATGGGCAGCCCCAGAGAAACCAGAACATTCGCCAAAGTCAAAGCTTGCCCAGGAAATACAAGTGGCAGGCAAAATTCCTGCTCCTGCACAACCACTCAATGAATCGTTGAGTCACCTGAGGCCAACTCGACACCAACAGATAAGTTGGACCCAAGACAAAATGGTCATCCAGGAGGGGCAAGGAATGAACTGGTCCAACCATGACAGGTCAAGAATGAACTGGAGGGCCAGAGAATCCTGTTTCAGGACCATGAAGAGGCAGGAAACCTACTGAAGAAACATCATTGTTTCAACCACTCCCAAAGCCACCCACTCTTGAAATGACCTGACACAGGCAAGGAGAGGACCCATGCTGGGAAAGACCCAAACCCCCTACAGGAAGAGGAACTGACTAATTCAATCAAAGGCCAACAGACACTACCATAAATGCCCACGAATCTAGGGACCAGGCCTCAGTAAACCAAGTCAGCCACCCTTTCCCCAACACCCTATCAAAGGAGCAAATTGCAAAAGAGCCAGGGTGAGCCACAAGAAGCTGCCTTCCAAACAGAGCAAGCACTGTGCCAAACCTGTCCTTTTACAAATTACATCTGAATTTGGCCATTTGCCCGTATGGCCAAAAATGGACATAATTTCAAAATAAAAAAAATGAAAATAAATCTTGGATTTTTTTCCCAAAAACAGTAAGTTAAGGGTCCTCTGGTAGGTTAGAAGGGCAGGAAATTCTCCTAAAGTTTCAAGTCATGAAAAACATTAATTGAAAGTTTCCTCTCCTAACCTATCCAAGTAAGAAGGAGGACTCAAACAGAAAACAGGGCAGTACATCACTTTTGTGAGCCGATTTCATTTCAAATTATGTCCATTTTTGGCCATAGCGCGCATACAAGTGAAAAGTGACGTTATTTTTAAGAGGACGGGTTGCTGTGCCGACCAGCCAAGGGATGAGCATACAATCCAGCATTTAGTTCCACTGATGGCCTACCCCAACCAATGAAAGGTGACTCTCCAGTTCTACCCGACTGCCTTAAAAACCTAGGACAAGAGCCCTGAACTCAAAGAAGGTCCATAATGGGTCGACAAACAATAGCTGCCAAAAAAAGGAACTGGGCGACTACAGTACATCCTTCAGGAAGATGAAACAAATGGGAGAGTGGACAAGAGAGCAAGGGATCACACTCAATCAAGAGACTGGGCCAACACAGCCTATCGACACGCGAGTCGGTTGGCAAGGAATATGGCCACCACCTCCCAGAGCATGGGAACATAAAGCTTGGGAAGGGCAGCCAACATCACAACAGCAGAGGCCAAAACCCCTGCAAGTGGCCCCTGCCTAGTGCTCCAACATCCTCAGTGACCCAATCAGAATCCAGCTCAAGGAGCCCCCAGGAAGTGCATGACAGAACCCAGATGCAGATGGGCACAAAGGTCATGTGCCACCAGAGCCGCCGACAACAAGGAAACCTGGGAGTGGACCTGCACAAGACAAGTTCCAAGAGAGAGCAGGAGCAAACAGGCAGTCATTGAGAGGCATAAAAGACAAGCCCACCAAAATCTTGGTCAACACCTCACGCCACTCAAGTGTGTAAGAACAACAAAATCTGCTCCAAGCCCCAAGCAAAAACAAGGGACTATCCACAAGTAAGGAAGATTCTGGTATCTTATATCACATCCATTTAGGAAAGGAAAACGCAAATTCGAAAGAGGAAGGGTCCATCAGCAAGATGTAATCCAGGTCTCGCAGGAGGTACATAAAAAGGGCCTCCCAAGCCGCAGCAGGAGAGACATCTGAGGACAGAAACCTTCAAAGAATGACTCTGGCGTGCCCAAAGACACCCAGAACCGAACCCTGGGGGGATGGGGGGGCAGCAGCACCCAAATCAAACTTATACAGGGAGGGGACATACAAAAATCCCTCCTCCTATAAAAGAAACCACTCCCTGGAGGGAAAAAACCATGAAGGATAATATCTTGAGATTACTTTAAATTTTAGTCTTGTAGCGTGCCGAAAATAAATTGTCCTGAATTATTTTTTATTCGACATTAGCACCTGGGAAGCATAAAAACCAAAGTAAAGCATCTTGATCTCTTTATGATCTAGCTGTAGTGGCTTGGAGATGTTGCATTTTTTGGCATGAATACGGTGAGATGCCACATGGGAATAACTTTGTAAATTTATTTTCACTGTTTCTCACTTTATTGACTTTTTTCATTCTAACAAGTTGTACTGCTGTGCCAATGGTAGTGTTCATTATGTATAACTTTGAAAATATACATATATTCAGATTTACATGTATAAATATATGCACACTATGTATTTATTCATTCATACTAATATACACAAATACAGGTATGTATTTATAAGCCTAAATCTTATAACTATACATAACACATTTTGCATGTAAATATATGCATGGTAATTACTCATTTGCTGTTGTTAAAAGTTCAATGGCTCCTAGTATGGTCTCCATGCACACTGTGACACTGGACAGTGATGAGCCAGACATAGTCCTCATCTTCCTACTCATTCCCATGATATGATGGGTGCTGCAATAATATTGTTAAGGTTGGACTACTAATGTGTGCAGCTAGGCTAGGAATGGCATGCAAGTCACTCACAGTAATTAGCAACATCAACTATGTAAAATGCCTAGAGCAACAGCACAAAATCTTGAAATCTTGCCTCAGAAAAGGGGTGACCAGACACATACTACCATCAGCTATAGAACTAAGTGTTGTGTGGCAGGCTGACCGTATGCTGACTCTTCCCCAACTATACACAGAATTCACAGTAGTGTGATGCATCAAATGAACAAATTAACACTTTCGCGCTCTCCGCAAAGGTCACTCAGCCAACCGAATGTGCGCGCTGCGTTTTTATCGCTTAAGCGTAAAAACAAAAATGTGTATACTCTTTTTACTCTTCTGACCTTAGTTCTCATGCTACGTATTTCATTTTGGTACCAACGTGTTCGCAATAAAATTCTCTAGAAGAACATTAGTAAAATAAGTCACGAAACATATAGGGATACCAGCACCAAATAAATAACTACGTAGATCACTCGCCGTGAGCGCCCATCAGCAACAAAATGTTTTTACTCTTGGGATTGTTATCACTTCCACACTTGTCCTACAGCGTTAATTTTGGTATCAATGGACTCGCAATGAAATTCCCAACACGGTGATATGAATATAAGCGTAGAATAATGATGCAGCCCGCCCGCAAGAGTGTGGGAAGTGGTGAAATTGTTACCCGGTATCGGTGACGGGACGACGCACGGCGCTTTGAAAGTTTATACTTATTTCACTCTCATGACATTAATTTTCTATGTACGTCATTCATTTTTATGTCAATGTGTTCGCAATAGAATGTTCTATGTGCCCATAGGTAAAAAATATCAACAAAGCGTAAGTTAGAATAGCGACAAATATAAAACAACGCTGGAACATATCAGTGAGCGTCAAACACACACGAAATATTTTTACTTTTGTTATGTTTGTCAAGATTATACTTGTTGCACACAGTTATTTTTGGTTGTATATTGATCGGAATAAAATTTCCTAAACAGACATATGCATATAATACATGATATGGGGGAAGAATTACCAGTATAAACGGCTAAAGTCACCCACCTGCAACCCGTTTGGGACAAAATACCATTTGATCGAAGTTATCCACACCTTTCATTAACTTATTGTATCATACAGCCTAGTGGTGAGAAAGAGAGCCTCATAGCGCGCAGTTTGAAACAAACCCAAAGTAAATCGGATAAAAATTGAATTTTATACAAATATTTTAAAAGTAGACATAACTTTATGTCCACTATGCGTTTACGTTAGACGAAACCGAACGCGCCGGCGCGTCCAGATAGCGCGAAAGTGTTAACAAGGGATATCACAAGGGATTCTTTTACAAAGTCGTGGCACAGTCGATTAAGGCACATCTGGGATCCTCTTAGATGTAGGTTCGAACCCTCATCACAGCCCTTGTGGATTTGTTCTTCCCCCCACCTTCCCCTTCCCCCCCCCCCCCCCCAATGACTGGGGGAGGTAGGGTGAATAAGCTTGTGATAGTTTGGAGAAATTTCAATTGTTTGTTTACATAGATGGGGGGAGTTCTTTCAGAGGTTTTAAAGGCTGTGGTCTCTACTGAAGCCAACAGTGGTTTATTTTGTTGACCAGACCACACACTAGAAGGTGAAGGGACGACGACGTTTCGGTCCGTCCTGGACTATTCTCAAGTTGATTGTGGTCCAGTGGTCTATTTTGTCTCATTGACTTTCTAGCTGCTTCACCAATGGTAACATAAATAACTACATAAATGTTACAGCTCCCTGTGCCTCTGGAGGCAGAGCTAGGTTCTAGTTCTGAACCCTGGTAGGCCCAATAGAACTCTAAAGCTGAGCAAGTAGTGGTACACTATCAACAAAAAGTAACTTCAGGGAGCAAACAGTCTCCCCCAGAAAGGTCCCTGCATGACAAATATCCAAAAGATTGCCTTCCTATATCTGAAATTGGGACTTGAAGAGCTAAGATGCAATCCAAGGAGTGGCAGTGATGGCTCGCAGGCACACCAGGTTAACTGATCTTGGCCATGTGGTCAGATGGTAGCCTGTAGATGAGAGTGGCCACCTAGTGATAGTTGATCAATAAAAGAAAAAATGGGCGGTGCCAGCTGAGTCTTCCATATTCTGTACTGTTTTGATTTTACCTTATACTATTTAATTTTCTATTTAATTTTGTCATGCTTTGTTTATCTGGGGGTTTCAATTTTATATTTTACCTTGCTGTTGTCTGTTTCGGTTTAATCTACCTTTTCTGGTGGCTATTTCCTTCAGTTAGAATAATCTTGAATCCTTTGCTTCTTGCACCTATGTAAGGGGACTAAGTTTTAACTTCTGATCTCCAGTAGACTTTTAGACTCACAAGGGCCTGGTGTGATATGAACTGGGTGGACCCATCTAGGATGTAACAACAGGGAGCCACCAATGGAGCCATCCCAGAAAATTCCATTCAGCACCCCTCCATTTTGCACCATGCAGAGTTTAACTTTTCACACAAAACTTAAGACAGGCCATCAGGTCTACTGTTGCAAATTGTGGTAAAAAGCCTATTGTTGAGGCTCAAGCTGCCGAGGGGTCCTAACCAAACCTTGTCAAGCTATGAATGGCAAAAGACCATCAATCCCAGCAAAATGAATAACTTCCACAAACTAGGTTGTGTGAGCTATGAGTGATGCAAGTCAATCAGAACCTCACACAGCACTGTTAAAGCAGTGAATGACCAAACCCATTGCAGCGGCATTGAAAAGCCCAAACTCCCATCCTGATGGTCAATAGAGAGAGCCATATTCAAATTGGAATATGCTCACAGAAAAAAGCCACTTTCTGGCACAGTAGCACTGATCACAGAGAACAATAACAAAAGAGAGAGAAGTAAGGATCACTCAAAAAGCCTGTAAGTACCACTTATCACCACACACACACACTACTAGCAGAGAAGAGAACACAGGCTTCAAAGATCCTAAACAATGAAAACAGGTTAAACTTTCTGAAAAAACAGAGACCTCCAGGTGTGTTTGATGCTGCCACCTGGTAGTGGTTGGCAAACAGTTCCTAGTAGGCAAACTGGTAGTAAACCAGAGTACTTTCTTGGTAGTTACTTGTGGTGTCACCAGGGCACACTGTAGGGCTTTCAGTACTGTGAATGAATCATATCAAAAGTCATTCTAGGGGATTGTTTATTCTCCTGTGACTGCTTAATTAACAATCTTAATGATAATCAAATTCAAATTCGAATGTTTATTCAGGTAAAGTACATACATACAAGGGGTGATACAAATATTGATGAATTTATAGATAGAGCTAGTACATACAATGCCTAAAGCCACTATTACACAAAGTGTTTCGGGCAGGCAAAGCGTTTCGGGCAGTAATGTAATACAGAACATGATCCTGATTCACTGTGCATAGTGAGTCTTAACTTAAGATGGTAGCAAGCTTAGACTGTGAATTTTACCACAGAGAAAAGCAAGTTTAGACAGCAAATCTTACCTTAGAAAGCAGCAAGATTTCACAGCTCAGAAACTGCTGATTACAAAAAATTACAAAGATTCAAATCCATATAAGAAATTTAAATAAAAAGCCTTACACTAACCTATGGAATAATTTTGGATAGGATCCAAATGACACGGACGGAAATTTAGCCACAGTTTCATTCAGCATAGAAGCAATGGACACTTCATCTGTCGTTAAGTACAAAACACCAACACAGAACTCAACACCTGGTCTGTGGAACAGTTTCTGCAAATATCACAATATTGCACTATAAGCATGAAAAGAACAATGATTTTAAATTAACACTAAATATTGATCATTTAGGTGCAAAACACACACAATAATGGTATGAATATCAATGCATAATTACATGGGATCTGTCTTACAATGAAAATAATTATAAAGATTAAGATAAAACACATTTTATTCCTTTTGCTGCAAAATTACCACCATATTCAAACTGAAATCTCATCATTAGAGAAATGAAGGAAATTCAAACTGAACAAATCCACAAGGGCCGTGACGAGGATTTGAACCTGCGTCCGGGAGCATCCTAGATGCTGCCTTAATCGGCTGATCTACGACATGGTAAAAGAGTTGAAACCGAAGTTCTACTGAACTTACTGGATCTGAACTTATTGGATCCGAACCTGCGTCCGGGATGCTCCCAGACGCAGGTTCAAATCCTCGTCACAGCCCTTGTGGATTTGTTCATTTGATGCATCACGTTATTGTGATTTCTGTGTGAAATTCAAACTTTTAAAGCTCTGTAAAACAGGACTATATGCAACAAGATGAGGAATCACAACAGTCTTCAGCATAAGTAAACTGCATCTCTAATTTGACTTCTTTGATGTACTGTACTGAAGTTCTGAATAACAAATGTCCTCCCTTTCATTTGTTTCCCTGCAATACTCACTAATTATAGTACAATGTTTGAGAGCTGCATCATATTCAATGTAATTTTAAGGGGGCCATAATGCCAAAATCTATATAAATAAAAATGGAAATGTTCATTTGTTCAAAATCGCTAATCTCCGAAAGTTCTTCACCGATTTATTTGAAATTTTCACACAACGTTCCATTCGCATCTGAGCAGGTTTTTATATACATACAGTACTATATAGATGTCACGTCTGTGAAGGTAAAAATGCATGCTTTTTATGAAAAACTGTGTTTTTCATGTGAGGGAAATCTTCGAAACCTCATTACCGATTTCTTTGAAATTTTGACACAACATTGCATTCGAATAAGCGCGTCTTTTTATATATCTACTATATACGTACCTCTCCTATGACAGGGAAAACATGTTTTTTTTAAAAACAGCGCCATCTGTTGGTCGTAAGAGCAACACACGATGTAATCTCCGAAAGCTCTTCACTGATTGCTTTGAAATTTTAACACAACTTTGCATTCGAAAAGGCGAATGCAAAGTTCATTCTTTTTATGTACCTACTACTGTATATAGATGCCACCACTGTGACAGGAAAAAACATGCATTTTTGAAAAACAGTGCCATCTGTTGCACATAATGGCAACATGCACGCTATACTAAATATGTCACGAATTCCATTTCAATGTTTCCTATTGCATTGATAAATTTTATTTTCATAGATTTCAATTTATTTTATTTTTAAGTGAATTATTTTGTGTGATATTGTGTTGGAATTGAGCTATGTTGTTTACCATACCATGCATTTCGTAAGTATAAGTATAGATGCCACACCTGTGACAGGTAAAACTATGATTTTCTTGAAAAACAGCACCATCTGTTGCATGTAAGAGCAACACACATGCTATACTAGATATGTTACAATTCCATTTCAATGTTTCTGATTGCATTGATAAACTGAATTTTCATAGATTTTGATTTTTTTTTATTTTGATTTAATTATTTTGTGTGAATTGCATTGGAATTGAGCTGTTTTGTTTACCAGACCATTCATTTCGTGAGTATAGTTGGTTTTTATTTTTTTTTATATTTCATTTCATTTTTTAATTGTTTTTCTTATATTTCAGTGATGGGAACATTAGATCATTTGATGTTCCCAATTTTCTAATGGGAACATCATACTATTTGGGAAGGCATCGGACGAGGGAGTGGGGAATGGTGGGGATGAGGAAGGGACGGAAGTGAGAGATGGTGGGGACAAGGGAGGGGGGTAATGGTGGGGAAGGACGTGGGGACGGGGAAGTTTGGGATGGTGGGAACGAGGGGATTGGGGAATAGAGAATGGTGGGGCAGGACAAAGGGACAGGAGAGTGGAGCACGGTGGGAAGGAAGAGGGGATGGTGGAGTGGGGAATGGTGCGGAGGACGAGGGGATGGTGGGGTGGGAATGGTTGGGTGGACGAGGAGACAGGTGAGAGGGAAATGGTAGGGAGGACTGGGGGACAGGAATGGTTGCTGTGGCTCAGCAATGCACATGCGTTGCCGAGCCACAGCAACGCGTGGCCGGGTATTGCTAGTATGCAATAAATGAAAACTGGTTCAATTACAATCAAACTTTTTTGACTAGTTGTACATGAAAAGGGCTTCAGCTGGTTTGAGTCTCAGCATCATAGCATAAATAGGAAGGGAGAAAAAACCCAGCGTTGAATGTAATGAAATGCCATTTTCTGGGTGAGACTCGGGGCTCCCCGGAGCTGTCCAGGTTGATATTGCTAATATTAGACTTTGTCATCAGGCAGTGTGAATAAGAGTTCTTAGGCCTACCAGGGATCATGAACCAGAACCTGGCCCCTCTCAGAGAGGTACAAGGAGCAATGGCCTATAGAAACCCCATATGGTTGGAAGCATTCTATGTCTGCCATCAACTGGGTTAAGCACCCAGAAAAGTAAGCATCCCAAAACAAACTCCTATTCTGGTTAAGAAATTGCTACCGAGAGCCGAACTAGTGGACTCCAGTGTAGTTGTACTGTAGCAGTAGGGCTACACCACAACCTTCCCTTCTCACCCTTTCCTTATTGCTTGATTTTCTTTTACTTTGATATTCTCACACTTTTCCTTATTACTTGATATACTTGTTGTTGCTCGGTCACTTCCTTAACTGCTTTTAATACTGCTTTCTCTCTGGGCACTTGTGCATGGATTAGCTACATATTGTTCTTGCACTTTCCTATACCCTATGTAACCTCCTCCATCTTTTCATTAAAGTGAGGATCTACTGTACAAGCAAATGGCCCCACAGGATGAATAAAATCCAAAGATGGTCAGCATTTTGCTTTGAAGCAGAGGAGCATGCCACAACTGGCAGACCAGAGCCCAACAGGTAGTACTGACCACCATAACATCAGTGACAGAACTGATTTGGGAGCCAACTGTGGGCTAACGCTGGGCCGCCTGCTGGCGACTATCGGTACTAATGGGTTCAAGTTAGTTTTGAGTGAATCTATTGTTTTACTTCCATTATTTGCAGAGTTGTTGGGGGTTTTGAGGCTTTGTTTCCTATGAACCCTCCAATTGTCTGTAAGGCTTCGCTGACTTTCTGGATGATTTTCCCATCAGGGTGCCTGATTGTCACTTGCTCCCTGCACCTCTGTGAGTGGGCCAAATTCTAGTTTTTATTCCCAGTTGGCCAAAGAGAACTCCTGAGACTGATGTGATCCATTAGAATGGAGCAATCTCAGCGAGATAGCTACATGGAGCCACTGGGGAATGCCCTCAGAAAACACACAAGAACTTGTCTTAAGGAGCAACCAAATGAGAATGCACCATAACTAACCTTGCCTAAGAGCCCAAAAGCTCTTTCTAATAGGTGTGGGACCCCTGGGAATATGGTCACATTTTTCACACTGATGATTGGATATTGAGATATGATGCTTTTTGTTTTGCTGTCACCATAGTGAAGTACTGCAGACTTTGGAATCTGTATATAAAGAGATCTTTAAGATTGTTCCATGATTAAGGTGAATCTGACTTCTAATGAACAGAAGGATTAGGTTAATGCATATTCTAATCGACTGAGACAAATAATAAAAAAGACTTACAATAAAATTATGTTAGGCATCTTTTTTTATGTGCATTTATAAAATTTTCTCATATATGGTAACACTCTAAGACTTAAATTTTATTAAGAGGGTAATGTATTTACTAAACAATGTTCATGCTTAATATAATTGAAGTAAATTAGCATATATCAAGCATTCAATGTGATGAATAAGGAAATGTCCTTTTCTGGTGAATCTTTCGGTAGCTTCCTAAGGTTATGAATTAATACAGTATAGACAAGCCTTAGGAAAACTCGCCTGGCCCCTGACCCACCAGGAGTGAGAACCAGGATCTGGCTCCTACATGGTAAAGAAAACCTGGCAATATGAAATCTATCAAAAACATGGAAAACAACCAGCGTTTGAATGTAATGAAATGCCATTTTCCGAGTGATCCCCAAAGCTTTCCTGAAGCTATCAGAACTGATAGGTGCTATATTAGTTTAGGGTCATCGGTCACAGGAGTCTTTATGACTACCAGGGACCAGGAGCCAGAACCTGGCCCACTCAAAGAGGCGCAGGGAGAAATGGCCTATGAGCACTTTACATTTAAATTATATCATAATTGCCATCGGCCGGGAAAGTACCCCAGAAAGGGCTGACAGCCCGCCACTCCAGTTTTTGAATGATGAAAATCACCAACCAAAGGGAGGGAGGGAGGGTGTCGAGAAGCCTTTGGAGCTCGCCCAGAAAATGGCGTTTCATTACATTCAACGCTGGTTTTCTGTGAGGGAGCCCCATCGTAAATCCCAAAAGGAGGGACTTACCTGGGAGACGGCAGCACCGCAGGTCTTGAGACGAGGAAGAGGCAGACAGCCGCGACAGGTGACCCATAGCCCCACACAGTCAGGAAGAAACCGGAACATTCACGAGACACCTGGTGGCCAGGACTGTAAAACCTTCAAAACCCCCACCCCCAAATGTCGACCCAAGACATAGTGCTAAAAACCAAAGCAGAGAAACCAGATCCACCCAGAGAGCATCCATCTGCACAGAACCAGTGGCCTGCAGATAGCGGTTTAAAACTGTCACAGGACACAACGTGACACACCCCCAGCTTAACTAACCAAGCATCCACAACCAACGAACCACTCTGGAAGTCAGCCATCTCATTCTATGCCAGAATAGGAGAAGGCAGCAAACAAACAAAAATGACTACCTGGACCAAACGAACAGAACCTTCAGCGTTGGAGGAGAGCATGAAGCTCCCCAACCCAAACCCCAGAGGCGAAGGCCAACAAAAACAAGGCATCCAAAAGCAATCCCGAACGGAAGGGGGGCCACAACAAAGCAAGGAGAAGAAAGAACAGAACGAACGCGTCCAAAGACCAAGCAGGCTCAGGCAACGTATGAGCAGGACGGAGGTGAAAAAATTGTATGAGGAAGATAGTGGAACAGAGAGGAAGTAACATCTACCACAAACGCAAGCAGCAGCAGCTCCACCAACACCGCGCGATATGAAATGACAGTAAAAGGCATGAGATGCCAATCCAGAAAAAGCCATGAGAGAGAGGACAAAACAACCTGTTCTGAAATCAACAAAAACTGACGAAGAGAAAGGAAATGACGAAAAGACCAGCAAGAAACTTCATACTGTTACTGAGAAGACCGCAGGTGGGATACCATCAAAGAAGCCACCTAGTCACCATACAAGTGGCGATACACACGCATAAAAAAAGCAGACATGTAGTGCGGAGCAGTAAGGCAAACCAGCGAGATACCTCTCTGACCCAACCTACTGAAAGAGGCCGAGCCGTGGAAAAATGGCAGGGTTCAGACACTGAGCAAGCAGCACCTGAAATCAAGGCTTGGCCGGCCATCATGGAGCCAGGAGAACCACTCACTTCCGATATGAATCCAGCCGAGCCAGAACCTGGAGCAACAGCTGGACTGGGGGGAAGAAAACAGGAACCCCCATCTCGACCAGTCCTGCCTAAGAGCATCTACTACGAGGGCCTCGTAGTTAAGGAACGGCACCACGTACAATGGGAGATGCTGAGATCATTCTGACACGAAGAGGTCCACCTCCGGGCACCCGTACGTCTGACAAAGTCAAAGGAAGGAGGCAGAGTCAACTGTCCACTCTCTGGAAAGAGAAATGATGTGCCACAGGCCATCTGCCGGAATGATGGACACACCCGGAATGTGAACGGCGCAGAAAGCTAAACCCTGAAAACTAAGCAGAAGAGCTACCCAAAGCTACCAGCCCCAAAGTCATGGACTAAAGAGATTTCTCCCGGTTGAGACTCTTGCCACAAGCAAAATGCAGAAAAGAACCAGAACCCAACAGTGAAAAGAAAGCCCACAAGAGGTAAATGAGTAAAGGAAAAACCACAGCCCTAAGGAACAACAGAAACATGCTTGCATTCCTAAAAATCCAGAAGCCGTGAAACTGAAAAAAGTTACTTTCTCAGACTTTGAGATGAAGGGGCAAAAATGAACCTCAAACCTATGATCCAGAAAAGCACCCAAGAGAAGGAGTGGAGAGGTAGGGCCATAAACAAACCTAGTCAAAGTAAGACTACAAAAGAAAGAAAAGTAGCATTAGGTAGAACCAACCCACTCTCCCTCGAGAAACACACCACAAAACCAGGGAGCTGGCAGACCAAAGTCAGGCAATTAGGTCACTGTTGAAATCCCTAAGGAAATAGACACAAACTGCATACCCACCAGCAGAATTTGGAAATGTATAAGCCAAAATTGCAGGGAGCCCAAACCAATGGAGAAGATTGGAAAGCCAAAGGAGATTGTAAAAGCAATCTCCTCTTGGAAAGTATGGACCAGAACTGCCTGAATACAAGAGAAGGACACAGAAGGAAGGCACTGACCTCCAGATTGCCTGAAGCCTGGCTACCAATGCTGCTACAAGAGCATAGACCCACAGGGGCACAAAGAGGATAGCCACATGCCAAACAGGCAGAATGTTGGTGGAAACCGCAAAGAGCAGTCAGGTACATAACTGGACATGGAAGCCATAACAACCCAACCAACAATGCAGACAAGACAACAAAACCCCCACAGAGATGAGGGAAACTGACCAGCATACCAGGCACATGGGAAGTCTCGGCAAATCAGACCCCAGCTTCCAAACATGATGAGGGAAGGCAGATTAAACCATGGATAAGAATAATAATTTATGCAACAAAAGCAGACCTTTGGTTTATACAAAAGGTCACATACATATATCTAACTACTGTATCTCCCTATCAATAGGACTCATAATGGAGAACAAGCCCCATGCACTTCCCAGAAGCAAGGTAATCCAACTGGAGTCAACTAACTTATAGAGGAGAAATTTACTAAAGAAGGTAACCCTGGTACACAGTTAATGCAAAATTCAAAGCAAGGGCACACAATGTGAGTGGCACAAAACACAATCATGAAGCATAAAAGAAAAAACAAGGAAAACTAACACCACTTAGTTCAAAGTGTGATGCGGCAGACAGGCCCAGTCAGAGTGGTGCACACCAAAGTTGGTGAGAGAGGTGCAGGACTGGCCGGAACTCTTGGTGACCCTGGTTTTCCTGAGGCAGGATTTTCCTAATGCTTGGCTATACTGTACCAGTGCCTAAGCTTGGGAAGCCATTGAAGGAGCCCTCCCAGGAAATGTCATAAAACACACACTGTTTTTCTGAATGCTATTCTGATGTAATTTGCAAATAAAGAAGTTGACAAGATTCACAATGCTTTGGAAAATAATTACTGCATAGTACTTTTTCTGTAATAAGCAAAGTTAGCAAACGTAAACATATTTTGCAGTCAGCAAAACTGCAATAATTCATAATTCATTCTGTCGGGGACAGGCAGCCTTAATATGTATGTTAGGCTTATATCGAGGTTCCCAGAAGCAACTCTACAAAAGTTAATTAATTCTCGAGTGGCTATTTACTGTTAGGTGAATTTACTGTTAGGTTAGGCATGAAGTGATAGGAAATGTGCCCAACCATTTCTGTCCTGCCTGGGAATGAAACCCTGGATTCCTGACCGAGTCGAGAACGAACCCAACTGTACTACCGAGACCCTAATACAGTATTATAAATTTATGCTTCAATTAAATATCTAAAATTTATTTTAATACAGTATATTGATGAGACTTTACATTTAATTAAATTTTGAAGTGCTCACAAATATTTAAACCTTCTACGAAGACATACGTGAGCCATCTTCATAGCAGGAGAACTGAGGTCATCAGTCTTGAAATAGGCACCGATAAACTGTACCAGCTTTGGATGTGGATGAACAGTTTCCCCAAATGCGGCAGCCACTCCTGAAAAAAAAAAAGTGGTGTATGTAATGAAACACCAATTTCTGGGTAGCCCCAGAGGCTCCCTGAAGCAATAAGGTCAAGTTGGTTCCCTACTACTAGACTGCACCAGCCGTGGAGTTCTGGCTAGTCTACAGTGAACCAGAGCCAGAACCTGGCCCCCTCATGGAGGTGCAGGAAGGTGTAGGGAACATGTTCCTGAAAATTAAATATACCAACATAGATGGAGTGAAATTAAAACTACTGGAGCTAAAAAATATAATTTAGCTTAAGGTCCCAGATATTGTAGCACTAACAGAGATGAAACTTGAAGGAAATATTTTAAATGAGGTCATATTCCCAAGGGGCTACTCAGTTTGGAGATGTGACATTCTAGGAAAACTAGAAAGAGGGGAGGAGTGGCTGTGCTGGAGAAAGAACACCTGAAGGTAAGAGAGTTAAACAGATACAGTACTGTGAATGTTTATGGGTGATCCTAGACGTCATGGGTTCAGATCCTGGACGTCATGGGGTTCGGATCCTGGTTGGGTCATTTAGAATTCTTAGTGACCTATGGTTTGTGCGTTCCTGCAGCCTTTGTGACATTTGTAGACTCAGCGTGGCCTGTGCATGTGCCAGAATTTGATGAAAAAATGTACCCAAATGGCTCCATGAGTGTCATTGGGGGTTGGTCAGTCGTGGAGCATAATTAATAAGCACCAGGAGTGACCAATACTTATGAAAATCAATGCTGCAGTGGTCATGGTACTGTGTACATTTAAGGGGTGTTCCTGGATGTCATGGGTTCGAATCCTGGTCGGATCATTTAGAGTTCTTAGGGGGGAGAGGGGGGAGAGTAATTACCTAAGTGTAGTTACAGGATGAGAGCTATGCTCGTGGTGTCCCATCTTCCCAGTACTCTTTGTCGTATAACACTTTGAAACTACTGACGGTTTTGGCCTCCACCACCTTCTCACTTAGCTTGTTCCAACTGTCTACCACTCTGTTTGCAAAAGAAAACTTTCTAATGTTTTTTCGGCACTTCTGTTTCCTTAGTTTGAAACCGTGTCCTCATGTTCGTGATGTTGCTGGTTTCAGTTTCTTATGGATGCTTATGCACCGTTAACGATGCATAAGCAACAGGGCTCCATTAAGGAACATATAATCTCTTCCCACAACCAGACCATCGCCAGAGAAGTCTTAACAAACTACACAGAAATCATCGATAGATACAGCAACAGCAGGCGGCTTGACATCTGCGAGGCACTACACATCAAGGAGTCAACACCAGCAATCAACAGCCAATTAATGCACAACTATATTCTACCCACTTCAAGACTCCGCACCAATATAGAAGCATCAAGAAATATGGGCCAATGGGCCCTTTGCAGTTACTTCCATTCTTCCCTTTAATTTACCCAATTTATACCCATTGCACCGTGTTCTGTCTTGTGTTGAAAGTTTGCTCTATCTTGTGTTGAAAGTTTTGTTCACCTCATCCAAAACTGTTGTAACATATCACCTCATCCAAAACTGTTGTAACATATCACCTCATCCAAATGCGGGTATATAAGATGAAAGCTGTTTAAATGATAGCATAGTAGAACTCTGTTTAGTGTTTGCAGGTTATAGTTGTGTGTGTGTAAACTAAAGTCTTTGAAAATGTAATAAGCTATTACAAAACACGTTCAAGTGTCGCGTCAGACTAGAAATAAAAATTAATTTTGGAGAATTGATTTTTCAATTACCATCAACAGTGAAAGAAACATAAGAAATATTGAGAAAATTCGTGTTAGAATTATTAATCTTACTTTTTCGGTCATATTTAATAATATATGTTTACAAGAAAGACTGCTACCAATATATATATATATATATATATATATATATATATATGCGAACAAGCCTGAATGGTCCCCAGGACATATGCAACTGAAAACTCACACCCCAGAAGTGACTCGAACCCATACTCCCAGAAGCAACGCATCTGGTATGTACAAGACGCCTTAATCCACTTGACCATCACGACCGGACATAATGAGGTGATAGCCGAGGCTATTTGAACCACCCCACCGCCGGCACTCGGATAGTTATCTTGGGCATAGCATTTTACCAAATCACCTCATTCTTTGGGGCAACACGTGAGGAACACAAATGCGAACAAGCCTGAATGGTCCCCAGGACATATGCAACTGAAAACTCACACCCCAGAAGTGACTCGAACCCATACTCCCAGAAGCAACGCAACTGGTATGTACAAGACGCCTTAATCCACTTGACCATCACGACCGGACATAATGAGGTGATAGCCGAGGCTATTTGAACCACCCCACCGCCGGCACTCGGATAGTTATCTTGGGCATAGCATTTTACCAAATCACCTCATTCTTTGGGGCAACACGTGAGGAACACAAATGCGAACAAGCCTGAATGGTCCCCAGGACATATGCAACTGAAAACTCACACCCCAGAAGTGACTCGAACCCATACTCCCAGAAGCCTCGGCTATCACCTCATTATGTCCGGTCGTGATGGTCAAGTGGATTAAGGCGTCTTGTACATACCAGATGCGTTGCTTCTGGGAGTATGGGTTCGAGTCACTTCTGGGGTGTGAGTTTTCAGTTGCATATGTCCTGGGGACCATTCAGGCTTGTTCGCATTTGTGTTCCTCACGTGTTGCCCCAAAGAATGAGGTGATTTGGTAAAATGCTATGCCCAAGATAACTATCCGAGTGCCGGCGGTGGGGTGGTTCAAATAGCCTCGGCTATCACCTCATTATGTCCGGTCGTGATGGTCAAGTTGGATTAAGGCGTCTTGTACATACCAGATGCGTTGCTTCTGGGAGTATGGGTTCGAGTCACTTCTGGGGTGTGAGTTTTCAGTTGCATATGTCCTGGGGACCATTCAGGCTTGTTCGCATTTGTGTTCCTCACGTGTGAATGAGGTGATTTGGTAAAATGCTATGCCCAAGATAACTATCCGAGTGCCGGCGGTGGGGTGGTTCAAATAGCCTCGGCTATCACCTCATTATGTCCGGTCGTGATGGTCAAGTGGATTAAGGCGTCTTGTACATACCAGATGCGTTGCTTCTGGGAGTATGGGTTCGAGTCACTTCTGGGGTGTGGTTTTCAGTTATATATATATATATATATATATATATATATATATATATATATATATATATATATATATATATATAATATATATATATATATATATATCACACACACACACACACTGTGTATCCTGTGTATCGAATTTACTCAGTTTCTATGATCGAGCCACAGAGATATTACAGGAAAGAGATGGTTGGGTTGACTGTATCTATCTGGACCTAAAAAAGGCTTTCGACAGAGTTCCACATAAGAGGTTGTTCTGGAAACTGGAAAATATTGGAGGGGTGACAGGTAAGCTTCTATCATGGATGAAAAATTTTCTGACTGATAGAAAAATGAGGGCAGTAATCAGAGGCAATGTATCGGAATGGAGAAATGTCACAAGTGGAGTACCACAGGGTTCAGTTCTTGCACCAGTGATGTTTATTGTCTACATAAATGATCTACCAGTTGGTATACAGAATTATATGAACATGTTTGCTGATGATGCTAAGATGATAGGAAGGATAAGAAATTTAGATGATTGCCATGCCCTTCAAGAAGACCTGGACAAAATAAGTAGATGGAGCACCACTTGGCAAATGGAATTTAATGTTAATAAATGTCATGTTATGGAATGTGGAATAGGAGAACATAGACCCCACACAACCTATATATTATGTGAGAATTCTTTAAAGAATTCTGATAAAGAAAGAGATCTAGGGGTGGTTCTAGATAGAAAACTATCACCTGAGGACCACATAAAGAATATTGTGCAAGGAGCCTATGCTATGCTTTCTAACTTCAGAATTGCATTTAAATACATGGATGGCGATATACTAAAGAAATTGTTCATGACTTTTGTTAGGCCAAAGCTAGAATATGCAGCTGTTGTGTGGTGCCCATATCTTAAGAAGCACATCAACAAACTGGAAAAGGTGCAAAGACATGCTACTAAGTGGCTCCCAGAACTGAAGGGTAAGAGCTACGAGGAGAGGTTAGAAGCATTAAACATACCAAAACTAGAAGACAGAAGAAAAAGAGGTGATATGATCACTACATACAAAATAGTAACAGGAATTGATATAATCGACAGGGAAGATTTCCTGAGACCTGGCACTTCAAGAACAAGAGGTCATAGATTTAAACTAGCTAAACACAGATGCCGAAGAAATATAAGAAAATTCACCCTCGCAAATAGAGTGGTAGACGGTTGGAACAAGTTAAGTGAGAAGGTGGTGGAGGCCAAGACCGTCAGTAGTTTCAAAGCGTTATATGACAAAGAGTGCTGGGAAGACGGGACACCACGAGCGTAGCTCTCATCCTGTAACTACACTTAGGTAATTACACTTAGGTAATTACACACACACACACACACACACACACACACACACACACACACACACACACACACACACACACACACACACACACACATACAAACACACAGTGGAACCGCGGGTAGGGAACGTCCCTCTTTAAGAATTTTTCGGGTTACGATCGGGTTACGACCTTTGCCTCGCCTTGCGACTTTGTTGATACACTTATGGGTTGACCGAGTGCATGGTTCCTGGTGGGACAGGCGATCGCACTTCAGTTTACCAGTGCCTCCCACTTAGTGACGATCGCACTTGAATTCTATGTAAAGAATTTCATAGTTTTCCTGCTTTTTTTGGTTTTTGATAAAAAAAGTAATTACTGTATTACTGTATATATCATGCCATGGGTTCCAAGAAAGTCAGTGGTAAGGTTCAACCTAAGAAAATAGTTGTGAGTAGAGGCAGTAGAGGATGTCCCTTCTTCATTAAGAAAATGTGTGAAGTATGGGAAGAACTGCAAAGTTTTGTTGAAAAAACTCACCCAGATAAAGTTGCAGCAGGCTGTTACATTGACTGTTTTAATGACAATGTGATGTCTTACTACAGACAAGTTTTAAAATGTAGGGAAAAACAAGTGTCTTTAGACAGATTCTTAGTAAGACAAGCAAGCAGTGAGCTACAACCAGGTCCTGATGGTATGCCTGCAAAATGTAGGAGAGAGAGTACCCCAGAGAGGTCATCACTGCCTGATGTTATAATGGAAGGGGACTCCCCCTTCCAAACACTAACACCTCTCCTCCTCCCCCCCCCCTTCCTCACCGTCTTCCATATGCCAACAAGAATCGTCAATAAAGGTAAGCTATAATTTGTACATACTATAGTACAAAATACTTATGTGTATTTATGTACATTTATGTATGAAATGTATATTCAAGTTAATATTTTTGGGAGTGTGGAACGGATTAATTCAATTTACATTATTTCTTAAGGAAAAATTAGTTTCGGGTTGCGAATTCTCGGCTTACGATACTTACAAATCTCTGGGAATGGATTAAATTTGTAAACGAAGGTACCACTGTACAGTATATATACATACTATACTGCAATATCAAATACAGTAGTAATTATAGTTTCACATTTTGAATAAAGAATACAAACCTTCAAATGTGATATCATCATGAGTTGGACCAATTCCTCCTGATGTTAGAACAAATGTAAATTGTTTTGAGAACTGTGCCACCTCATCAGCTATAGTTTGAACATCATCAGGAATCACCGAGACCTGATAAACAGCAGGTATAAATCAGTATAGTACAAATCAACAATCTTTCACACTTTCAAGCCCAAAAGTAAAAATATTAAAGTCAAGCTTTCAATGTAATGAAATGCCCTTTGCTGAGGGGAACCCCTTATGGCTCCCTGATGTTGCTATCACTGACAGAGTGCCAACCACTAAGTCACATCAGCTGCAGAGTTCTATAGGCCTATCATGGACCAATGGCCTGGCCTCCTCATAGAGGGGCAGGGAGCAATGGTATTTATTTATTTATGCCGCCACAAGGGAAGCAACTAGAAAATCAGCGAGACAGAACAGACTACTGCTGACTTAAATAAAAACCGTAGCCACGAGAAAAGCCGAAAGAACTCCCACAACTATGTAAACATATTTAAATTTTTCTAAACTAGAACAAGCTCATTCACCCCACCTTCCCCACTCATATGGGGGGAAGAGGGAGGTAGCTGATGGTCAGCCAGCTACCCCACCTTCACTTCTATGCCGATGTGTGTAGTATGTGACTGGTCACCTGTCTGCTGCTTTAGCTCCAGTGCTTTGCCGTTATGGCTAAGTGGTAGTTTTTGCCTTTGTGAGCATTCCTGCACACTGTGCAATGCTGCTTGAGCCTGAACATCATGAGTGCTTGGAGCTGCACATGCACAGGGTTATCTTCCCTGTGTGCTTCCTAGTGCTGTCTTTGCACTTCAAGCTTCTCTTCCCTGGGGTGTTCAGGAGTCACTCCCTTAGTGATCCTCCTCACTTGTAATGCCCTTGCTCAGGGTGAGTTAGGAGTCTTCAGATTTTCCTGCCTTTACTCGGGTGAGGAGTGACATTGGGGTGGCTGGAAGCACACTGGGTATTAACAAACTACACTATAGAGCACTGAGGTAGCCTTCACAGCCATACGAGCAGCTACTGAGCTAGCTGGCTTACTACATCGTCTCTATATTTTGGTTCTATTGCCTATATAGATTTGGCGGAATCCTTCAACTAAAGATCCAGCGTAGCATCCCAGTGCCTGGGTGTCCTGCTTGCTCAATTCTTTCGGGCTTTGGAAATCCCCTGCAGGTTCAGTAGTCCCATGAATATCCCCATCAATCCTACTCTTGCCTTACACAAGCTTTGAGTTGCTTGTCATCCATGACACATGATAGCGTTTAGTCTGTCTGCCTCTGCCATGCTGTCTGTTGGGTTGGTGACACCTTCAGCCCTGAGTTCTGTGGGGGTTTTCTCTCCCCATATGGATCTTCCTTGTCTGCTGCTGACATACAAAATGAGAGGTGAAAACATAGAAATCACCTCCCAGAGGATCGGCGCAAACAGCTTCAGCAAGGCAGATGACACTGAAGCAGCCAAGACTAATACCCCAGCTGAGGGCCCCTCACCCTGCGCTCCCAAATTTTCTGAAAGCCAATTTGAAGACAGCTCCATATGACTAAACACAAGACCGAGCCAAATGATCATGAATCCAAAAGTCCTCAGCAGCCAAAGCAGCTGAAAGAGTGGGGACCCAAGTTTGCAGCTGCACCAGATCAACATCACGAGGAAGCACACGGGCGAAGAGACACTCATTGAGAAACACAAGTGAGCTCCACAAGAACACCTGTGTAGCGAGTAGATTATCCCAATAATATAATGCTAATGCACGGAGGGCTAGTTGTATGACGCATTGCTTGTTTTCTTTCTGGGGGAATTTTTTTGCTATTTTGAGGACATAGCTTGCAATTTTCAACCAGACAGTAATCTGTTTTGATTTGCCTACCTTTCTGGGTGCCTTCCCTGGTAGATGGCAAAATAAGAAATACTTTAAATGTAAAGTGCTCATAGGCCACTGCTCTCTGTGCCTCTCTGAAGGGGGCCAGGTTCTGGCTCTGGTTCCCAGTAAGCAGCAAGAACTCGGCAACTGATGACCACAACTAATATAGCACTATATCAGTAGGATGGCTTCAGGGAGCTGACAAGGCTCCCCACAGAATGGAGGATACTGGCCAGAAGTAGTAAGGAGGATACTGGCCAGAAGAAGTGAGAAGGATGCTGGCGAGAAGAAGTGAGAAGGATACTGGCCAGAAGAAGTAAGGAGGATACTGGCCAAAATAGTGAGGAGGACACTGGCCAGAGAAAATAAGGATAATGACCAGAAGAAATAAGGAGGATACTGGCCAGAAGAAGTAAGGAGGATACTGGCCAGAAGAAGTAAGGAGGATACCGGCCAGAAGAAATAAGGAGGATACTGGCCAGAAGAAGTAAGGAGGATAGTGGCCAGAAGAAGTAAGGAGGATACTGCAGTAGATAGTGCACTGATGACATTCTAGTTTCATGAAGAGAAAAACAAATTGAGCCAACATTTTCACTTGCAGAGATTATTATAACTTGAAGTATTGCAGTAACTTTGTTAAAACATTCATATAATATTCATATAACTGATGTAAATGTATAATTAATGTAAATGTATAATTAATGCAAATGTATAATTAATATAAATATATAATTACTGTATTGTATATGCATAAGTAATGTAAATGTAAAATTAATGTAAATTTATAATTAATATAAATTAATGATGTACATGAGACATAAATAAGTAATAATTCAGTTTACATAGCAAGTTATGGCTGAACCATTATCACTGTGAACCATCTGGTCACTTGAAACAAACCCAAAAGATATCTTACCCTCTTGACTTTGACTCCAAAACTGTGAAGGTGTCTTGTGAGGAAATAAGTGTTAGTGTCCTGCGTCTGGCCCTTCAAAAGTTCATCACCTATAACTGAAAAATAAATACTAATGTGTAATAGAAAACTTAAAAAAAAGGTCAATATTTCAAAGTCTGAACATCATGAAAATATAAAATTAAAAATGAATAAAACTTGTTGGATCTACCTTCCCATTCATGATTTCCCATCCCCTCTCCTTCACATACAGTGCACCCTCACTCTTACGAACCCCACTCTAACGCGTTCCTGGATAGTTAGAACAAATTGAAATTGGTACAAATTGTTCAGTGGCACATGAAAACGTTTGATTAAACTCTCCTCGTGGGGAGGTTCCTATATTGGATTTGTTACTAAGTTAAGGGAGGTCCACTCTAACAGTGACCACAATTGGATACCATAGTTTAAGTGAAGCCTCACCAAGGCAAAATGTAATTGGAGGACAATGAGCATTAATTGATGATGCTGCTGGTTATAAACCTCTGTTATAACCACACACACACACACACACACACACACACACACACACACATATATTCTAGGCCAAAGCTAGAATATGCAGCAGTTGTGTGGTGCCCATATCTTAAGAAGCACATCAACCAACTGGATAAGGTGCAAAGACATGCTACTAAGTGGCTCCCAGAACTGAAGGGCAAGAGCTACGAGGAGAGGTTAGAGGCATTAAATATGCCAAAACTAGAAGACAGAAGAAAAAGAGGTGATATGATCACTACAGACAAAATAGTAACAGGAATTGATAAAATCAATAAGGAAGATTTCCTGAGGCCTGGAACTATAAGAACAAGAAGTCATAGATTTAAACTAGCTAAACACAGATGCCGAAGAAATATAAGAAAATTCACTTTCGCAAACAGAGTGGTAGACGGTTGGAACAAGTTAGGTGAGAAGGTGGAGGAGGCCAAGATGAAACACAAACAAGTAGCAAGGGTTTCAAGCTCAAGCCATAATGTAGAACTGAGGTTATCTTGAGTTGATTTCGGGGCTTTAGTGTCCCCGCGGCCCGGTCCTTGACCAGGCCTCCACCCCCAGGAAGCAGCCCGTGACAGCTGACTAACACCCAGGTACCTATTTACTGCTAGGTAACAGGGGCATTCAGGGTGAAAGAAACTTTGCCCATTTGTTTCTGCCTCGTGCGGGAATCGAACCCACGCCACATAATTACGAGTCCTGCGCGCTATCCACCAGGCTACGAGAGAACAGAAGATGCTTTTTCACCCACAGGGTTATTAACCGATGGAACCGCCTTCCCGCTGAAGCTACAAATGCCAAAACGTTGTCAAAATTTAAAACCCAGCTGGGTAAAATCATCAGGGCAAATGGGGGACCTTTGACAAGATGCCGGCTTCCTGTCCTCATCGAGGCCATTAGTGTGTTAGTGGTCCTCTGGTAAATTCAGGTAAAATTCCTTTCCCATCACTCACTTCCCATCTCCCACATTCCTCCCCATCACCCACTTCCCTTGCCATAACTCACTGATAATTCCTGCGGTAGGCACATCAACAGGAATGCTGTCTTCCACATCTTGATGGCCCTCACTGGCCATGGTGGCGCCTGGGGTGTTGAAAAAGTACCGTCCCGGCTGAAAAGGAAGATTGAGCCTCAGCAGCGCGGAGATGAGACTTCTCCGGGATGCTAGCCAGACGCTGGAACGGAAAATGTAGGTGTGTGTGTACACTGTCCGGGTAGCAGCCTCCATCTCTCCTCCCGCAGCCTGACTCAGCCTCTCCCTCATCTCCCCTCTTCCACTGCCTGATTTCATATTTATTTCGTCTCATTCCTGCGACTAGATCACGGTAAAGAAAAGTCCAAGATGGGATATATGTCCAATAAATGGGAACCTTTGAGAACTCTATTGTTTAGGCGATTGTTTAATTGTGATCCCGTTAAGAACTCTCAAACATAACAGGAAGAATTTTTGCTAATTATAATTTTTTGTATTTATTTATTTATTTTTTATTTAACTCAAAATCAAATGTTTTTTTTGCAGGTAAAAGTACATACATACAAGATGAGTTACAAACAATGTTGGATTTCTAGAAAGAACTAGTACATACAATACTAGTAAAATACTAGTCCAATACTGGTTAAAAAAATAGTAGTAACAGTTTTATTTATTTATATATTTATTTATTTATATGCAAGAAGGTACATTGGGTTTGTGAGAATACAAAGCATAGTATTTACAATCTTGTAAAGCCACTAGTACGCGCAGCGTTTCGGGCAGGTCCTTAATCTAACAGATAATTTTAAGTAGGTAAATTCTAGCAGAATTAATAAAATAACATACATTGCAAGAAAAAAATGAGATGAGATCTTATTTGGAAGCAAATCTACAAATGCAATTCAGCTTCAGATAGAAAATGTAAACATTAGCAATGAAAATGATGGAAAGTTTCTTGGCCTATTCCTAGATAAGAGACTCAATTTCAGTACCCACATACAACACATAACTAAGTCTCAAACAGTTGGTATACTCTCCAAAATCAGATATTATGTACCCAACTCTGCTCTCATCTCTATATTATGCACTAATCTATCCCTATCTTAATTATGGTATCTGTGCTTGGGGTTCAACCACTGCAAACCACCTCAAGTCCATCACCCAGCAAAAATCTGCTATATAGAATAAAAAAATTCTGCTTTCAGACAACACTCAGCCCCCTTGTTTAACTCCCTGAACATGCTAAACAATCTCACTCCACAAATTATCTTGTGTCAACTACATTTACAAAACCCTGTTCTTAAATGCAAATCCTGCTCTGAAACTCTCCCTGGACAGATGTAATAGGACCCATTATCACCACACCAGAAATAAATATCTCTGATATCCCCAGAGTCAAACTTAATCTGTGTAAACACTATGCAAATAAAGAGACCCAGTCTATGGAACTCCCTCCCTATTGAATTGAAAAGCTGTCCAACTTTTGCGTCATTCAAAAACAATAATAAAAAGTACCCAATTTCATCTTCATAGTTTTATTTTACCTTTTGCTTTAAAATTGCACTATCTATTGCTACCGAATCTTTATGTACCCAATCTGAACATCTTTACCATTGTGATCATTGCTGTCTTCTTATGTGCTATCAATCTGCTGTATTAATCTTGTTTAAATTACCAATCAAGCTGTCAATGTAATCAATCAGAGCTTTAATATACTTACTAAATCTCTCCTTTCTTGCAATATATTTATTATTAATTCTGCTAGAATTTACCTACTTAAAATTATCTGTTAGATTAAGGACCTGCCCGAAACACTGCATACTAGTGGCTTTACAAGATTGTAAATACTATGGGTTGTGAGAATACAAAGCAATGTACCTTTTATATATATAAATAAAAAAACTGCGTACTCATGTGTCCCCATGGCCTCCTGCCACCGTAATTGGCGGTGGGAAACCGCTTTGGCCAAGTTGCATATTCTCTCAACTCACGGTCATTTAAGGGCACGAGGAAGCAGAAATTTATTAGTTTAAGAAACTAGCAGCAGGGGGGGGAGGTTATCAGGCTCGTAGAGGTCAATATTAAATCCCCCAGAATTAAGTGGTTTTTGTTCAGTCTGTTCTATAGTATTAGATTTCCAAGGTTAGAGTTGAATTCAGACAGTGTTAGGAATTCTGTAGACTGCTCCCACAGTCAGGACAGCCTCGCCACCCTTGACGTAAGCAGGCAGATACATCTCTCCACAGGGGGGTCTAATTTTAATTACTTTTAAGCATGTCAGTTCTTTGTGGTAGTAAAGAACAATACCATCACCTCTGAATAGGACGAGTTTTGAATTGCTGTGTAGTTTGGCATGTTTTAGAGTTGTGCTCTTTTAACCACATTTCAGTAAGCACAACAACAAAAGAAATTGTCTTCAACCGTTTGAATTGGGGCACTAACATCAAAGTGCTTGCTTAGATCTTACATTCAAGGTATAGAAACTTATGCGTTTAATAATTGTTTACATCATGTGCTGCATAATACCTGCAATTTTGATCATTAAAGTTATTGTAACATACTAGATACGAGGTTTAGTTCTGGGGTCTATTTGTTTGCATAAAAGGGCTGTTTGATGGGGAAGAAGAGGGGAAAAAAAAGAATTAGAAAAAAAGATCTAGATAAAAAAAATTACAAGACTATACAAGAACAATTGAAGTAGATTGGTGTACGGGACTCTGGTAGAAAGATAAAATCAGCGAAATGAGACTAATAAATAATTGATAATGCTATAAAATAGCCTACTTTAATAATGTAATTACACGAGTTTTACTAAAGTTACACTAAAACAAATGAGTAGATTACATAGAGGTACACCGAAAGTAAGTATACTAGAGGACCGGCAAAGCCAGTGTACAATGGAACAGAGTCCATTTCAGATTCAGATGTTTATTCAGGTAAGGTATATACATACAAGTGATGTTACATTAAAGGATTGATATATAGATAGAGCTAGTACATACAATGCCTAAAGCCACTATTACGCAATGCGTTTCGGGCAAGAAAAAACATTAATATCTAGAACTTAATACTAATTGAGCATAAAGAATAAAAGATGTTGAGAACAAATACAAATAAAGATAAAAAAAAAGGGGGAACATGACTGAAAAAGCAGCACAAATACAATAGGTTGACAAACAGTGTTGATTAAAAAAAAGAAAAAAAAAAAGAAAATAACAGACATGGGTTGACAATAGAGGAGTGAGGTAGATTACAGGGAATTTATTAGGTAGTGTTTAGTTTTTATCTTAAACTGGTTGAGAGAGGTACAGTCTTTAACATGGTTGGGAAGGTCATTCCACATTCTGGGCCCCTTGATTTGCAGAGCATTTCTAGTTTGATTAAGACGTACTCTAGGAATATCAAAACTATTTATTTCTGGTGTGGTGCTCATGGGTTCTGTTACAACCTTCTATGAAGCTTTTAAGATCAGGATTGGCATTATAGTTTAGCGTTTTAAATATGTATAATACACATGAGAGAATGTGCAGTGACTTAATATCTAACATATTAAGAGATTTGAGTAGGGGTACCGAGTGATGTCTGGGGCCAGAGTTGGATATTGTTCTAATAGCGGCTTTGTGTTGGGTAATTAGAGGACGTAAGTGATTTTGGGTAGTAGAACCCCAAGCACAAATTTCATGTGGTCTCCATCTCATGTTGGCCTCCGAATGCATGATAGAGCTGATAAGTTAGCCAAAGAATCTGCCTTTAAAGGAGCTGTTGAGTGTAACCTTTGATTGTCAATGAGCAATCTGAGAGCAGCAGTACACCGAGAACTTCAACAAGATCTTTTAGATCCGAGGCAAAGTGAAATTGACACTAGTAATTCCATCTATCATCATACTAGATGAGCCACACATGTATGCATCATCCAATAAAAATCAGCAGACTTCTAGATGTTACTACTGCTCGGCTTAGACTGTTACAAGTATCTGGGAATTCTCATTATCTGCTGATGTAGACCTGACCAAATGTAAACTGTCAACAAAATTATTCGCACACCCTCCGTCACTATGTGATGGAGCGCGAAAAGATACGTGAATTTAGAGACAATTCTATAACCAATGTTCCAGCGATGTATCAATATTTCATTCAAAATGATCTGCTACCAGAAATTTTAGCCAAATATCCCCAGTTTGCTAACTGTAGGTAGTAACTAAGTGATTGTAACCTATCCACCGCTGCCCACTGGATGGGGGGCGGTGTGCTGGACAAACATATCAATTGTGACACTAGCTCTCCACATGTCAGTTGCTTTACTTAGGACCTGTACTTGAGGTCGATCTCGAACCCATTGTTGATGTGATGACTTATATTGAATTTTGTAACTAGCTCATCAAGATTGTAACTTGCTTAGCTAAATGAATTGTGGGGTTCAGTCCCTGAGCCCATTATGTGCCTCTAACCCTTTCCACTACCGCCCACAAGATGGGTATGGGGTGCATAATGAATGAACTAAACTAAACAATGGAACAAGGAAGTAAATATAAATAAAAAATATATCAAGAATGGCAATTTTAAAAACCTTTTGAAAGGAAAGGCAGAGCTATAGTACACTTTGGTAGTTAGAAGAGACCAATTTATTTATATTCTGGTAATCCCACAGTCATCCAGGAATTAACAGAGGTGCGCCTCAGTGGTTACTGCCCAAGTTTTTCAGTGTCAGACTTCCTAGCTATAATTTTACCAGTTTAAATTTTAAACATTGTTAGAATATCTACCGAATTTGGAACAATGAGGGGGGAGGGAAATAGTGTTGTAACTTGTATGCACGAGTGAAGGCATGTCTAGTGCTAGTCTTGCTGTTCAAGGAGGAATATATAACCAAATCTGCATTTCTATATCTACTTTATTTCACATAAACAACCCTCAACGGCCAATAAGCAGCTATGCTCTGTAGAATTGCGGCGCCTCACAGATGACACGTCTGAACATAAAGCAACTGGAGTCGTGCCAAGTTACTCCGTCGTTAAAGTTATTGTTTAACACCGCCAGACAGTCCTCGTTGCCGTCAGTGTTATCAGGCTGAGGCACGCCCTTCCTGCAAGTAGTTACACGATTATTTTAAAGGCTAGTTACACGTTAAGACTAACAGATTTAACAGACATTATTTACCTTCCAGTTCGGGACCAGTTTGTGTAGGAAAACTGGATTCCAGACAGCCATATCCAGGAGGGAGAGTTAATCTTGTTGCCACTAGTCCAGATGTCAGTGATGTAGTCTGGAATAGAGAAATAAGACAGTTTTAACTTACACATTCTTAAGTCAGGCGCCTAGCGTGTGGTAGAGTACACTGGATGCTTAGATTCAACACTCACGTGCTAAAATAATACGAGTTATGAATTCTTGTTTTTGCGCGGTCTCTACACTGACTGCTTGAAAGCCGTTACCCAGAGCAGCACAATAATGTGTGGCCTGTTCCCAGGTGTAGGTCCGGCCAGCGTCGTGACACCATGACAAATGGTACGCCCTCCCGCCTTCTATTTCATCAACCTGGATTTAAATGAAGATGTCTAAACAAATCTAGTTATGCGAAGCTAATTACACGTAAATTACAATTCAGACTATAAACTCTGAATTTACCAAGCTCACCAAAGGCTTCGATAGAGAGTCACACAGGGATGAAGCTGGAGCAACACCGAACGGTGCCGAGAGCACAGGTGTTGTGAACTGGTCGAGTGATGCTTGGCTTTGGCCAAGTTGAAAGAGAGACTGCTGCTGCTGTTGTTGTTGTTGTTGTTGTGAAGTTTGTCTTTGGGGTTGTCCGTTCTGGCCGTGACGGCGCGGCGTCACTACAAGACGCCCCGAAGATTTTGCCATCTCCTTGTCCCCCTCTGCTCCGAAAATAATGGGCACACCATCTCTCCTGACGTGGTACTGGGCCCAGACACTCGTCGCCACCATGGTCACCAGTGTAAGAAGTTTCATCTATGATGAGAAGTAAAAAATTTAAGCCGTTGACAATTCATAAAAAAAATGGGCCGCCAGCCTTAAGTAATACCCGGCCTGCTGCCCACTTTACAAATAAGACTAGCGACCTGCATTCAATTTCTACCTTTTGGGAAAAGGGGGGGGGGGGACTATGCGCTTAAAATTCGAGCAAATTTTTTTTTAGTAGCAGAAACACTGTAGTAATTACGTTACAGTTATAAACCCCTTTGTATGTAGAAGCCGAGAAGGATTAGGAGTTTTCAGAACTAGAGATTTAAATCATAATGTTACAGGAAGAGTTGCGCTTGTGGTATTTTTTCCCCAAGTTACCCTAGGACTGAAGGTCCCCAGTGTCACTAGTTCAAAAGATTAATAGCAAAGTGCAAATCTCCCCCCCTCCCCTCCGAATCACCACGGTATCTTCAGTAAGTGTACACGAGAGCCGTTTACCAGGTTTTGCTTTAAAAGTTTAAGGGGAATTATAAATTTTGTATTAAGAGAGTACATCACCTTGTTCCTTCAATCTTAGGTATGTTTAAAGCTCTAAAAACTTCAGATTTACGCAATTCGGTTAAGTGTAAATATATATAAATGCGTTTAAAGCAAGCTTTCAAAGAAAATCAAACTACACCCTGCGATACTAATGCCTTAATCATGTTGATCTGTCCAGAGAGAGCAGTCAAATTATAGACACCGATGGTTCCCTGCACTGCCCCACGGATGCAGATGCAGGTCTGATAATGGGCGATTGCCGATATTTTTTTTAAAAACCTTGATAAACAATTGGGCCCGAGACAACCATTTACCTTGCTTATTTCATAAAAGAGTGCAAGTCTCCAAATTTTACATATTAATTTTAAGCGACTAAATCCTTAATTGCTCTCAAGACAACTAAAATGCTAGTGAGAAACTAGACATAATTATTAACGTATGTTAACAGTACACTTCATGGTTTCCATCCGAATGCACGGTAGAATTTACTAGTTTACCAAATATGCTTTCAAGTGAGAAATTTGGTAACCATTTCCAGTAAAAATTTTAGAGCATTAGTACACAAGAACTTTGCCTCAGCTCTACAAGATTTTGTTAAAGTAAAGAGTTACCAGCAATTCCATCTATCATGCAAGAACCATACATGGATCATCCAATAAAATAAGAGGCTTTAGTGTTAGTACTGTTCAGCTAAAGAGTCGGGTATCTGTGGTAATGTGTTATCTGCAGATGTAGATCCGACTAGTTTTAAACTAAAAAATTTATACACCGTTTATCATAGATAAAAAAAAACACCCACTTTAGAGACTAATAAATACTCAAAACTTAAATTTTTTATTTAAAGTGACCTACTGCCAGATAACTAGTAAATGGCCCCAGTTAGCCGACATAAAGGGGACCTACGCAGGTCACTGGAAGGGGGAGGCGGTATGCAGGATAAACATCTTTACTCACATGTCAGTTAATTTATAGAAATTGATTATGTGCTCTGGCTCTACCCCATTGTTTTATGTGCATTGATTTTGTCAAATTAGCGCATCAAACTGGTATATTTCCTAGCTAGACAAGTTAAGGTTCAATCACGAGCCCATTATGTGCCTAACCCTTTCCACTACCGCCCCCAAAACGAGTATGAGGTGCATAATAGATGAGCTAAACTAAAAGATTAACACTCAAGCTCCATAAAGAAATTTAATAGGATGTGTGTAAAAACGGGTAGAAGTTAAAACTACGAAAACAACGTATCATAAAGTACGTATTATATACACGATAAAGAGTAATAAATATCACACCTTGCTGGGTTACTTATTGTCAACTTGTCGAAAAGAAGCACACTGACTCGATGCCCTCAAAACCGTCACTTTTATTGAGACAATATTGACTCTGATTGGCTACGATTCTTACGCCGTCATCCCTCCTCGGACCAGGATTGGTTGATCCTCAGAACCACCGGAGCAGCTGTTGAGTTAGTTTAGTTTAGTTCATTTATTATGCACCCTATACTCATCTTGTGGGCGGTAGTGGAAAGAATTACAGAGGCACATAATGGGCTCAGGGACTGAACCCCACAATTCATTTAGCTAAGCAAGTTACAATCTTGATGAGCTAGTTACAAAATTCAGTATAGGTCGTTACATCATAAATGGGTTCGAGATCGACCACAAGTACAGTTTCTAAGTTAAGCAACTGACATATGTGGAGAGCTAGTGTTACAATTGATATGTTTGTCCTGCACACCGCCCCCCATCCAATGGGCAGCGGTGGATAGGTTACAATCACTTAGTTACTACCTACAGTTTACAAACTTAGGATATTTGGCTAAATTTCTGGTAGATCATTTTGAATGAAATATTTACACATTGCTGGAACATTGGTTATAAAATTGTCTCTGAATTCACGTATCTTTTCGCACTCCATCACATAGTGACGGAGAGTGTGCGAATAATTTTGTTGACACAGTTTACATTTGGTCAGGTCTACATCAGCAGATAATGAGAATTCCCAGAGATACTTGTAACCGAGTCTAAGCCGAGCAGTAGTAACATCTAGAAGTCTGCTGATTTTATTGGATGATCCATAGATGTGTGGCTCCTCTTGCATGATAGTATGATGATAGATGGAATTACTGGTGTCAATTTCACTTTGACTCAGATCTACAAGATCTTGTTGAAGTTCTCGGTGTACTGCTGCTCTCAGATTGCTCATTGACAATCCAAGGTTACACTCAACGGCTCCTTTAAAGGCAGATTCTTTGGCTAACGTATCAGCTCTATCATGCATTCGGAGGCCAACATGAGATGGACTCTGTTACCATCCTTAATAATTTTGTTGTATTTGTGTCTCGCTTCGCACATCCTCCGTCACTATGTGATGGAGTGCGAAAAGTATACGCGAATTCAGAGACAGTTATATAACAAATTTGTTCCAACGATGTGTAAATATTTCATTCAAAACGATCTGCTACCAGAAATTTTAGCCAAATATCCCCAGTTTGCTAACTGTAGGTAATAACTAAGTTATTGTAACCTACCCACCGCTGCCCACTGGATGGTGGGGCGGTGTGCAGGACAAACATATCAATTGTGACACTAGCTCTCCACATATGTCAGTTACTTAATTTAGAAACTGTACTTGTGGTTGATCTCGAACCCATTGATGATGTGACGTCTTATACTTAATTTTGTAACTAGCTCATCAAGATTGTAACTTGCTTAGCTAAATGAATTGTGGGGTTCAGTTCCTGAATCCATTATGTGCCTCTGTAACACTTTCTACTAGCGCCTACAAGATGGGTATGGGGTGCATAATAAATGAACTAAACTAAACTTCGGACACGAGCATGTTACAGTTATGTCTTAAAGAGTTGAGAGCATTTAAGGATGATAAGGAGTCACTTACAATTAATGTATCAAGTTTGGAGACTTGTACATATTTCAGTGCAAGGATCAAGGCAAATAGTTCGGTCTGAAGGGTAGAGGCCCAATTGTTTATACGGACTCCCCACTCAAAGTACAAGCCATCGCCCATTGTCAGAACAACTGCACTTCCAGCTGCACCCGTGGTGCGGTGTAGGGAATCATCAGTGTATATGATTTGAGAGAGAGAATGCTCTGTGGACAGAGCATCAATATGGCTTAAGGCGTTGAGCTTTGCCCCAAGACGAAGCTTAGGCTGAACTCTAATTTGCTTCTTGGGTGGAAAGGGAGGGATTAAAACTGGAAAGGGTGTAACCTCCCACGGTGCAGGAAAGTGCCGTTGTTGTTTCTCTTGGTACAAATCATGAACCTGATACATTCTGAGTTGAGTTCCAGTTTTTGTTATCCATTTGGAACAATGCTGATCTTCAATAAAGAAATTCTGGAAGGCTTCTGTGCAAGGATTAGGATGAGTTAGCCTAAGCATTTTTATACCAATTTGACAGTTAATTTCAGTAACACGATCAACAACACTCAGAATATTAAGTTCCTTTCTCATATTAAGTATCTTTGTGGTACGAGGGCACCCAAGGATTATCCTCAAGACTTCGTTCTGCAATTTTTCAAGCCCTCCAAGCTTTCTTTCAGGCATCAAAACAAGCAGAGGTGCAGCATAATCTACTAAAGATCTGATGTATGCAAGGAACATCATTTTGACAATTCTGACATTGGCACTATTGCCTGAGTGATAACCTGCAACAGCCTTGAGAGCTCGGAGCCTCTCTTTATACTGACGACAGAGTCTGAATACAACAGGACCATACAGTGGCACCTCAAGGCCAAGGTATTTGAATCTGTTTACATAATCAAGCTGGGAGCCATCAGACAGTTGCATCTTGCGAACAGCTCCTCCCTGCCTGGGTGGGCGCCGATTGTGTATCTTTGTTTTCTCTGCTGAGATAATTAAACCTAGGTCCTGACGTGAGTCTAATACACAGTTAAGAGTGTTCTGCGTGTTAGCATACCCAGTGGTGTGTATCATTATATCATCAGCATAGCTAATGATGTGGACGTTGGGTTTGCTCGGTACAGAGTTTAACAGCGTGTTTATTAAGATATTAAATAAGGTAGGACTGAGGACACCACCCTGCGGGGTACCTAGTTCAAAGTCTCTTGTTACACTCCTATGCCCCTGGAAAAATACAGATGACTTCCTGTTGGATAAGTAACCCCTGATCCAACAAAAAAGCCGACCACCAATATTCATTCTTGCAAGCTCACTCAAGATAACATGTCTATTTGCAATATCAAAGGCAGACTTAAGATCTAGGAAGGTGGTATATGACTTTTCAGTATGCAGGGTAAGAAAGGTGGTAATGCAATGATGCACACTCCTTCCATGCATGAAGCCATATATCTGGGGGGATAGCATGGTTCTTATTCTATGGAGGAGACGGTTTAGGACCATTCTCTCGAATGTTTTGCAAATGCAGCTAGTAAGGGAAATTGGGCGGAAAGCATTCTCTTGATTTGGCTTGGGAATTGGAATGATTATACTGTTGGTCCAAGAGTTAGGAAGTTCCCCAGTAACATAGTTCATATTATACAGCTCAAGCAGAGGATTCCCTGGTACTAAAGGGAGCGGACGCAATATGTCATAAGTGATACCATCTTCACCGAGGGATGTGGCTTTGCCTTGTTTAGGGCCGCGAGTAATTCAAACTCAGTAAATGGCACGTTGCATTAATCTTCCTTGTGGAGCATGAAGTCAACGAGCCTTTCTCGATCTCCGTAACCAGCATTTAATCTGAACTGTATGTCTGGGGGAAGATTATTGAAGCTAGAGGTGGTTGCCCAAGCATCGACTAACTCGTTTGCTCTGTGTAGAGGGTGAGGGTGTGCTACTTGGCCGATCTTATCGCCTTTAATTCTTTTAATATCCTTCCATGCCTGGCTGAGGGGGGTGTGAGAGTTGAGACTGTTAACAAAAGTTTCCCAGTTATCTTGCCTGAGCTCTGTCATGCGCTCCCTCGCCTTGGCTAGGGCTTTCTGAAAGAGCTTGAGCATTGCTGGCGTACGTGTTTCCCTATATGCAAGCCCAACTCGTCTGGCAGTGCGTTTCAAACTCAGTTTGGGGTCATTGTAATAGGCATGGCGTTTATTACCTTTCATATCTCAAAAGCTCAAAAAATATTTCAGCAAAGCAAAGCAAAGCAAAGCAAAGCAAAGCAAAGCAAAGCAAATATTTCAAAAGCAAAAGATATTTCAGATCTCAAAAGCTTCATAGAAGGTTGTATCAGAACCCATGAGCTTCACACCAGAAATAAATACAGTTTTGATATTCCTAGAGTACGACTTAATCAAACTAGAAATGCTCTACAAATCAAGGGGCCCAGAATGTGGAATGACCTTCCCAACCATGTTAAAGACTGTACCTCTCTCAACCAGTTTAAGTTAAAAGCGAAGCTATACCTAATAAATTCCCTGTAACCTACCTTACCCTTCTATTGTCAACCAATGTCTGTTTTTTTTCTTTAAAGAGCGCTGTTTGTCGACATAATTGTATTTGTGCTGCTTTTTCATCTATGTTTTCATTTCTTGTTTTCATTCTACTCATTATGCTCAATTAGTATTAAGCTTGTCATTTAAGTTTATCATGCCCGAAACGCTTTGCGTAATAGTGGCTTTAGGCATTGTATGTACTAGCTATACCTATAAGTCAAACAATCCTTGTAAATATTTATTGTATGTATGTACCTTACCTAAATAAAATTGTATTGTATATCGTTCCGACTATTGGATGGTGCAGGGGGCCGACCTAAAGGGTCAGCAAACATCTGAATGTTCTGTACTAGATCGTCGTTAAATGTCTGGACTGTGGAGGGATCATAAGTGCTGTACCACTCTGACACATGAGCAACAAAGTCTTCACGTCGAGCAGGAGGAACACTGAGCCGTTTGCGTTTGAAAGTTCCACCGGGCAGGATGGTATTTACTATACATAGAGTAGTCAATCTAGGGTGATGATCTGACAACAAATCTGTTACAATAGATGATGTGCACCAGACGTGAGAGACGTTGAAACCAACACAGAGGTCTAGAATGTCTCCACAAATATGCGTGGGTTCAAGGTCCCCCACAATCCCAACCCACGATGAGAAAGAGGAGAGGGCCAAGTATGCTGCCCTGAGGAACACCAATGTTGATGGGTAGGATGGGAGAAATTGAATTATTCACAGAAATATACTGGAGCCTGCCAGTACCTCTGACTCCATAATGATGTAATTTAAGATGAAGGTTTTGGTGGTTGACAGTGTCAAAAGCTTCACGCAGGTCCACAAATAACCCAACAGAGAACTCATTTTTATCAAGAGCTGCATGTATCAAGTTAATCTTACTAATAAGTGCATCGTTAGTACTATTTTGGGGGTCTGAAGC